CACGGCTCTAAAAACACCAAATTAACATATAAAAATCAATACAAGCTATATCAAAAACAGAACGAAACATAATAGCAAAGTTTACAACACAGCATTAATTATTAATTTGAAAAATAGAATATGTAATGTATAAAAATAGGATATGTACTAATGCCTCTGTTTATTCATTGATTATTATCATCGTAATGATCGTAGTCTCTATGCATTTTGACAATAATAATAAACATTTTCTAAATGTTCCTGATTTACAACATTCAACAGTATTTATCGTTGATAGCCTAATCTTTGCTTCGAATTGATGTTTTCAGAAATTGGGCTCTCATGTAAAAAAAATTCTATTGTTTCAAATTCTTTCAAGCTGCATATAGTACCGTTCATTAATGTATAGTTGTTATAGAAATGACCTTTTGAATCTCAGCCGAAATATTATAGCATCACTTAACATAATAGCATTTTTACACATTGCTTGACAATTGGGTTTCTATCCGATAGATAAATTTCACGTGCCTCCATGTCCCCTGCTTTCAAGATTATATTGTGACTTAACTACCCTTTCAAAATTAAGTGACCATAAGTGATTATTATTTTTTATTATTAAATAAAAGTTATAATAGATTAAATTTGTAAATTGTTGTTGTTTAATAAATTAAAGTAGTTATTTTGTTTAAATTTGTAAAATTAAAGATTCCGAAGATAATATATTATGTTTTAGAATTAATTAAGGTTTTTAGTTGAGATGAAGAAAGCTAATGGCACGAGAGGGATTCGAACCCACGACCTTCGGCTAGATCTAAGGTGGGGTTGAGATGGGGAGTTGATGTCCGAGTGGATCGAGGTCACGATAGCTAAGGTGGTAGAGCAGCGGCGTATCTAGCCGAAGGTCGTGGGTTCGAATCCCTCTCGTGCCATTAACTTTTTTTCATCTCAACTAAAAACCTTAATTAATTGTAATGTATTAATTGGTCAAGCGGACCACGAAATTAGTGAATTTAATGAATTAAAATGAAGTACACTTCACTAAAGCTCTCCGTCGCCATTTCAATTGTCGTCGAGAATCCAAACCGATTACACGACATTTGAAAAATGGCAAAAGGAGGGAAAACTCATAAGGTGGGGTTGAGATGGGGAGTTAATGTCCGAGTGGATCGAGGTCACGATAGCTCAGGTGGTAGAGCAGCGGCGTATCTAGCCGAAGGTCGTGGGTTCGAATCCCTCTCGTGACATTAGCTTTTTTTTCATCTCAACTAAAAACCTTAATTAATTGTAATGTTTAATTGGTCAAGCGGACCACGAAATTAGTGAAATTATGTTTTAGATTGAATCATATGTAAATAATTAAACTTCTGATTTTCAATATAAAATGGATATAATAATTTATTATACACGTAATTATGTCTACAGTATAACAAAATCCGCGATACAACAGTATACATATTTATGCCAGCAGAAAAATTAGAATTAGTTTAGACGCAGCGCTCTGGGGAAAAACAAACTTAATCTATTTTAGTTCCAAGGCGTATTTTGTTAATGTCTGATCCAAAGTCTGGTGCGTGTTATTTATTTTTATCTATATTGAATCCAGAAATCAATAACAATTATTAAAAGTCTTCCGGTTTTTTAAGTAATCAATTGTTTTATGTATAAATAATCAAATTTCATAAATGGTAAATTTGCATTTTCGAAGACGTGAAAATAGAAGGCGTGTTGGAATCGGAAGAAACGATCTCGATTAGAGGCCAAATTTATGTGCAATAAAAATTCTCAAATATGCCATATAATATGCACTAATAAAACGTCAAATATGTGTATTAGATGCTCTAAAAAACCCATCAAATATGCCATACAATTTGCACTAAAAATAGAAAGAAGCAGCATGTATGTCAATGACATCATTAATAATGAACGTTTTATTTTAACCTAAACTTATATTTTCTTTCGTCTAGTCCATGTTCATTTTGGAAGGAAAAAGGACAGAAAAATTTCAGCCACACAAAAAATCAAGTAATTTAGAATGTACGAAATAAATAATTACGCCTAATTAAGTTCATGATCTGAAGGTACTTTTCATAGTTGTTTCCGCAAAACTTCAGTGTTTATCGGTCAAAACATATTGGTACCTTGAAAAAGACTTTTCGACAATGTCGACAAACGTGATGGGAGTTATAATAAATTAAATTTGAAAATCGTTGTTGTTTAATCAATTAAAGATGTATTTTGTTTAAATTTGAAAAATTAAAGATTCCGTTAAGATTTGTTAAACACTTAAAGCACATAACTGGATCGTCGATTTCCTGTGTAATAACTCTACTATTTACATTTAAGGTATCATTAATGTTCTCTAATTCGATCAAGCCGGTATTTTTGTCAAGGATTTTTTGCATTTCTCTTGTAAAAAAATGATAAATACATCGTCTGGGATTTTACTAATTTCCGTTTTCCGTTCAAATGAAAAACCCGACACGCTATTATACAAATCAAGTTCCAACTTCCGGCACTTTTTAGGTTTACTAAGTTGAAAATCTGAAAGTGTACTGAAACTGACCTGTTTTAGTGTTTCAAATGAGGTCTTTTTCCTCAAGCTGTCTGCTTCAGAAAAATTAATTTTTTTTCAGTAATCAAAAATATTTCAAGTGTCTCATATCCTTTAAATATGGAAATGTACACGGCATAGTAAAAATATGCAGAATAAAATTAGCACCATAGTACACCAGAGGTACTGGAACCATATGGCCAAATTATTTTCTATTGAAACATAAATAATACCAACTAAAACAGACAAGGGGAAAGAGACAACGGCAATCTAGAATAAATATTAAAACAAGCATAACAAGCAACTGCCTTTACATCCTGCCTAAAAGCTTCTTTCAAGAAGCACTTCAAATTGAAGCCTCCTTTCTTCTCGCTGTCGTTTACTCTATTTCACAACGAATTATTTATTACTGTACAAAACTGTGAAGACAAGTGGCTGAATCTCCAAAGAGTGCTCATAAAATAGCTGCTTCAGTGTCTCCCAACATTATCATTCAACAATTCACAAAATAATATTCTTGTTAGAAGAACTGTCTTACGAACATCGCTTCTCAATTTAGCTTGCCCTCTTAGAATGAGAGCATAGTCATCAAAAAGAAAATTTTATGTAGGATGATTCCGCTGGGCTTACTGATCTTAGTACGTATCTTCCTGTCATTACAATCCAGAAATGTGTGGTGATTAGTGACCATTAGTCGATGATTATTCGGAACAAAGAAGAATTAACAATCCAGAAAATGAACCTCTCCAAGGTATTTGTGTTCTACGTCCTGTATCAATCCACGCATGTGCCAGGAAATCTTAAAGGAGTTACCCACTGACAAAAATCTCCTCTTAAGATCAGACGGACAAGCAGCCATAAAAATACTATAACGTAAAAAGGTCTAATCTAGAATAGTCAATGAGTGCATCCTAAATCTCCAAAACCTGACAATATCTTAGGTGCAACACAAAAAGTTCTGGGGAATGAATAAGCAGACAAACTGACCAGATCTGCGATATAGGCCCAGAACTTTAACTTGGGATTAAGACACAGACTAGCCTTTATTTGGGATAAAGACAAACAGGCTCCTCCGTCTCAGAAAGGACCACCAAAAACAACTGGAGAAGTGGACAAACTCCAAGGAGCCAGGCACAAGAAACTTATGATTAAAGAACCAAACTGGCAAACACAGTGAGTGTGAAAACATGTGCACAACATAAAATAGAAGAAGAGAAGGAAGAAACTGTCATCTATATTATCTTCGAATATGAAGCAACCGCTCAATGGAGAGCTATGAGGCGAGAACTAGGGTACCAAGAAGACCGGAAAAAAGTATTAATGGACAATAAGCCAGAAAGCTGCAATGCTTTGAGAATGCAAAACATCGTTCCTAGCATTCCACCACCATCATCATCAGTTTCCAGGACGTATGAAAAGAACTGCTTTGACTTGTCACATATATCCAGCTATCTTTCATTAAGTCAGCCTGTTTCTACTTACAATCGTATTCGGACGTTTATTTAATCTCATGCTCCCAGAAAAGCTCTAACATCCAATCATCCCCCAGCATTCTACCAATAACTTCTAATCAACTTTCAGCCTCCAACGCCCAGTCAGCTCTAGTCGCCATTTCTATGACAAAGTATAACAACTTGAAGAAGCACCCCTGAAAGAATATTTTCCTCAAATAATTTATGTTGGCTCTTCAAAGTTAGGTGCCAACTTATCTATCTTTGCTCTCCTCTGAGAAATGATAGTATTGAGCGCTGTTTATCGTCTAACTCGCTAATTTTTGGGCTGATTGTTCCTTTCCTTCAAAGATAAGGGTTATCTTTTTGGCAAATACGAGAGTTTTGAGATCGTCTTTGATTGTAAAGCTTAATTTCCCTGACTGCTCGGACCTGGCTGCTTTTACAGCGAGTGCACTGGAATACCGTAGCTTGTGTAGCAATTCACTTTTTTAATTTTTGTGCAATGCAATTTTTCAATTTAATTTTTTTCTTCGAATGAATTTCCTGGCCTCCACCTCCAACATAATTTGCAGTTAATAGTTTTGTAATAATTGCTCTGTACGAACTTTTTTGAGTCACATGCTTAGGAAAATGTATTTTCTGTTTTTAAATAAATTTCTTTTGTCATTTATTCATAACAACCAACTGAGTATAACTGACATATTTTTTTCATTTTTGTTCACATACCTTTAGGGACAGCTGAGACGTCGTGTTGTTAAATGAAAATTTTCACAATTGAAGCAAAAGTATAGAGAACTAGAAATTCTTCCAAACAACTATTCACAACCAGGGATTATTTTGGCTTTTCGTTATTTAGGAGTTTATTTAGGAATATGGCATAAAAAAATTCCCCCCGGGTAGAAAATAGCGGAAATTCTCCTTCCTACAAGGTTGAAGAAGTTGTACAAATTGGTTGAAGATTTATATAAATGAACATAGAAAAATGATAGAAATGGGAACATATTTTAATTCTTATTTTAACAGTAAATATCCTTTACAATATTATAGTTGTTTCCATAACATGTGTGCCTAAAAAGTAAAAGACAGATAAAGAACACTATGTTCGCTACAGTTTATAAAATGTAATCACAACGACAAAATTTACTACGAGCAGGTCGGTTCGAACGCGATTATGTGACGTTTTGGCGAACAATTCAGGACTTTTCACTTCGTTATTCAATATGATTTCAGTTATCCACGGCTTACACATGTCCAGCCTCGTGAATATGTGGTACTGGGAGACACCACACGGTTTTGAGACGAACGTCGAAACGGCCCAAACCCAGGTTTCATAATAGACGGGAGAACCGGAATCACCGACGCAAAGCGAGCCGAAGTCCAACGGTAAAGTGCAGATGGTTGTCCTCGAACGCATGCAGTCTTTAGCCCCCTCGCATAAATAATTTGTGCAACTTTGATGGTCGGCCAACTTCAAACTGAGCACATAAACATGCGGGTTGGGCTCGACCGGTTGATTGTCGGTGTCTAGGATCTCTTTCGTATCCCCCCAGCCGATGACTCTTATTTGTTGGTGATGGCTGATCATCTGATTCAGCCAAGACGTGTCGTAAGAGAGCTTCGCCGGCTTCACAACGTCTCCGAATTCGAACGGTTCGGTTACTTTAATTATCCCGACATCGTATTCAATTACTCCGCCCACTTCCCGACATTTCGGATGGACAAAGAGTTTATCAGGGAAACGTGTAACTACTGCTGCCAGGAGATAAGTACTTCCGGTCACCAACCTAGAATTGTATATGGCTGTTTTTATCTCGGCTTTGCTCTCGGTCACAGACGCTAAATTGTCGCAACTGGTCAGGAGTAGCGAAGGCGAATTGATGATCGCGTCGAAATAATGAATTCCCCATTGATCTTGAACCGAAACCAAATACGGAAATTCAAATTCTGTCGCTCTGTATCCGTTCGAAATGGCCGCCGTTTGTGAATAAAAAAACAAAAATAAAATCACAACTACTTTCATGCTCACAGAATTAAATTTTTTTGTACTAAGAAATTTAACACATGGCTCTCTAAAATATCGCCATATTGTAGAAGAAACGACTATTGTTCCTAAGTTATATTCTAAATAGTAAATTGAGTACAGTCAGACTAACATGCACGCATGTTTTGCCGTATAATCGACACTCTCATCCAGCATTTCCTCGGTAAAACCTTGAAAAACGAAACAATTACATTTATACGTCCTCTATAAATTAAATGCCTCCCTACATTTAACCCAATTTTGTGATAACTGGATATACAATTTTTTTTAAATAAAACATTTTATTTTATATAAATAGATTATTATATGCAGAATAATACTTAATTAGGGCGTCGGTAGCCGCAACGGTTTAGGCGTTGATACGGCGCTCATCACTGTAAGGTAAAGGTCCCGGGTTCGAATCCAGCGGCCCTGCATTCGAACCCGACATATTTTTTTTTTTTTTTTCAAAAACACCGGCACCCTGTGGGTTTATATGACCTTTGCTGTTGCGAACCCTCGAAAAAAAATAAATAAAAATAATACTTAATTTTCCTTGATTGTTGAAGATTAGCCAGTTTTGGACGATCCCTGATTACTCTATCGTTTTATGTTTTCAATATCTGGTAAATAAACTGCGCAACAATAAAGAGGGATATTTGTAATTCATTCTTATTGTATTAATTTTAATTAAATTAACCGATATATCTTGTTAGTTGGATAAAACAAAATAGAAAATACAAACAAAAACAAAAAATTTGTTAATTCTCATTTGTAATGACGGATTTATATAAGAATAGTAAACACGAAGATTAATTATTTTGTAAACTAGTACCTTTTCTCCGTTTTAAATCAATTGTACTCTCTTTAACCATGGAAAGCCATCATTTTGAACCAGAAGATCCCAACATTATTGCGAGAATAAGTCATCAAGGTCACCAGCAAGTGGATATACCAGAGGCAGTTGGCGTCACAGTGTGGTCTCCCAGACTTTAGCCCGATTCTGAGAGACTGGAAGTGCCAATGCCTGGTAGGCACTAAGGGAGGACAGAAATATTATCATTGCTGCAAGACGGAGTCCTAACCATAGTGCCCGTCAGATCCTAAATGAAGTACAAGATGTTTTGGCAAGGTCTTTATCAACACAAATGATTCGTAATCGTTTGTGGGAGGTTGGCCTCACATCGTATGCCACTTTGAGACTACCTGCAGCAACAGCCTGCTACCAGCAACTCAGGAGAATATGGTGCAGCGAGCACCTAGCGGAGAACAACAATTGGGATGCTGTTATGTTTACTGTCGAGTCACGTTTCTGTTGGTATAGTGATAGCAGAAGAAAGTGGAACTCACAAGCAGAAACGCGACTCAACTGTAAATATAATGTCATTCCAATTGGTGTTCTTTTCTAGGTGCTCACTGCATCTAATTCTCCTGAGTTGCTGGTGGCAGGCTGTTGCTGCAAGTCGTCAGAAGGGACCTACAACGTGAGGCTACTTCCCACAAACGATTACAAATTATTTGAAAGGGTTCCATCTTGCAGCAATGACAATAGTTCTGTCTTCTACCAGGCCTCCTATTGGCACTTCCAGTCTCTCAGATTCATGAGGTCATGCTTTGAGAAACACTTACTGCATTTGCGATATCCTGAATGACTCATTCTCACAATAATATTGGGAACTTCTGGTTCAAGATGATGCCTTTCCTTGGTTGAAGAGAAAACAACTGGAATAAAATGGAGAAAAAGTGTTTGTTTACAAAATGAGTAATCTTCATGTTTACTATCCTTAAATAAATCTGTTATTAAATGTGAGGATTAACGATTTTTTTTGCTTTTGTTTTAAATTTTCTATTTTGTTTTATCAAACTAACAAAAATATATCGGTTAATTTAATTAAAATTAATAGAATAACAATAAATTACAAATATCCCTATTCATTTTTTAGCAGTTTATAAAAAAATTGCCAGATTTATTGTTAAAAATTGTCTACTCCAATTAAATAAATATCCCTTTAGAAATTTAAAAAACAGTTAAAGAAAGGCACATTTTCATAATGCTCCTCATATTTTAACGCTGTTATTTAAATTAAATTAAATTTCTTTACATTTTTTATTGACAGAAAATGTGACTAGACATCCAATGGCAATAAAAGGTTAGTGATAAGAAGCCGTGAGACCAAATGTTCACACAATTTTTATTTTAACTGAAAAGTCATAAAATTATGTTGATTGACCTTGACTTAAGCCTAACTATGCCTGTGTACAGTTTTGAGAGGCATTATATTATATAATCTACAAGCTTCTAGAGGTAATAATTAATTTATTATAATATTAACTAATATTAAGTTAGTAAATATTAAAAAAAAGTGAGATGTGTATAAATAAAATAACCACATAAATAAATTTATGTAAACATGTTCATTAAAGTTTACAAATTGTATTATTTCTTACAAGCATCAGGCAATCTGCAATGCATTTTAATATTGATTATGACAGCTTTTTGAATGACAAAAAGGTACGTTTTCTGATTTGTTTGGTCTACAATGGTAAACTCTAGAATGACACCATTTTGGAAGTAAAAGTCAAAAATTTGTTCACTACTTATTTGTTATGGAAACAAATTACCAAAAATACATTGCCACAAATTTGTGGAAACACAAAACAAAAAAATTTGGTGTAATCCACCTTTTCTTATTTCTATTTAAATATTAAAAAGTTTGCAGGTACAGTATAAAAACGTTTAGTTTGAAAATAATACCTTAACTTTCTGGGTCGGGTAGGTGATTTGAGTCTTCATTGTTTCTTTAAACTAAAGGCTCACCAAGGAAATAAAAAATTCTTAAAAGTTAGAAGTAATGTCTTGTAGATGCAATGAGGAAATATGTAATACATTTAAAGCCGTCTAAAAGACAATGGTGATAATGCCTCAAAACAAACTGCTTGCCAGGAAAACAGAAAATTTTCAAGATATGTTGTTCATGTAACATAACAAGAAAGTTGCTGGTACAATGTTATAATTTTTTCTACATTGTTATAAAAATTACAACAAAAAATTATTTTATGTATTGTAAATTAAACATATTTTTTCCTCAAATTCGATCAGATGTTTGCAAGAGATATAGCTTTTTTTTGTTAAGAAATAGCACAAAATTTTTCTGGTAGTCACAAGAAAGCCAAAATACAAAATGACGAAAGTAGAAATTGATGGAATGCTATGTGAGCCGATAGAAAAGTCAGAATCCACTTTAGAAGAGAAGACCGAAGAAAAGGAGCGCAAGAGGAAATGCCCTAGCGATCCAAGATTTCAACAAATGAACATGACCAAATGGTGCTACAATATGTTCGTTGATTTTCACAGATGTGTTCACTATTTTGACGCGTCGCACAAATTTTGTCAATATTTCGAAGATTGTTACACTATCCTTTGCCCGAAATCATGGATCGAGCTTTGGGAAGAGCAGATAGACAAAAAAGTGTTTCCTCGTGACTTAACTAAAGAAATGGGAAGATAAAAGAAAAGTCAAACCTACATACAATTTCTGCAAAATATTCCTTTTTTGATTAACAATATAAAAATAATTTGAAACATGATACGTTTCTCAATCATAAGTGTAATAATAAATATGAAGTATTTAGAAAAAAGCCTGCCCTTGATTAAAAAAAATTTAAAAATGATTTGTGGCAGTGTTAGGTATATTTTGTTACTAATTATTTTGTATAAGCTTTTCTTCATAAGAATCATACAAATCTGGCTTTTTGATTTGTTTTTCATCATTATCAACCTTTCAAGTGTCATTGTTTTGGTATTTTGCTGTAAACTATGTATTTTGGTTTTAAGATAATCATATGTTTACACCAGTTACACCAAATAACATAGCATGCAGACATAACACGTAATATTTAAAAAACAAAAAAACCATAGGACAAATGACTGAAGTAGACATTGACGGAATGCTCTGTGAGCCCAAAATCAAGCAGCATCAAGAGGCTGAAGAGCAAGGTGGCATATGCCCCCCTGATTCTAGATTTTTACATCAAAACAAACCCAAATGGTGCTACGCGATGTTTGAAGATTACGAAAGATGTCTTAAACATAACTCCAACAAAAAGACCTGCCAATACTTTTTCAGCATCTACAACCAATATTGCCCAAAAGCATGGGTTGAACAGTGGGAAGAACAAGTTGAAAAAGGGATTTTTCCAAGAGACCTGACAAAAGAAATGGGAAGGTAATTGTAAGTTGTTAACTAAAAATAAACGCTAAGTTGAAAAATTGTCTTTTTTTTATGAGGGAATTTCAACTACGAGGATATATGAACCCTCAGGGTGCCGGTGTTTTTGGAAAAACAACCATTTATAGTGTCCAGTTCAACAGGGTTCCGCCACACAGACCTGACAAAAACAGCACTATATTCAACACGCTAAGATGTACTCATGGAGTTTGTAAGTTTTTTGTATTGTATTGGAGTTAGGGATACCCGTTATGCTCAACATGTCTCTTTGACTTAGAACACATGATAATGTACTACAAAAATTTTATTCTCACAGAACTAATTCTTAACTAACTTTCAATGTCATATACAGAGGTGTAGAGAAGCTATTCAATTACAAATATCTGTTGGCTGCGGAGAACAATAACATTTATAAAACCCTCCTTAAATATATGCTCAACACAGACTTGTCATTTTAAATTGAAGAGTGTAATTGTTAAAAAAAAAGTAAATAAGGAAGAAATTAAGAAAAAAGATGACAAGAAAAAGAAAGAAAGAAAAGAGACAGAGCCCTGACTAATCCCTACAATAGAGTTACAACCAACTGGTAATAACAAAGGCCAAAAGGAAAAAAATTCAGGGCTCCTGGATTCGAACTCGGGGTCTTTTACCTTACAGTGACAACTCCCTAAACCGTTGTGGCAAACACAATTTTCTAGCCATGTACAATTACAATTTTTGTAGGTATATTATTTACTGTATAATTGTAAAATGCTATCAAATTCGATCCCTAAAAATTCATAACTTGATCAACCACGTGCAAATTTCCTTGGGTTGTTTGATTTTTAATTATTGTTAATGGTTGTTACAATAAATAATTATTTAATTATTAATTTATTGATTGAAATAACACATTATTTGAAAAATTATTTTTATTAAATAAGTGAAAATTGTTTTGTATTATGTTAGATTATCAACATAACATTCAAAATAATGATTAAGTAATTGATAAACTTTACATAAAAATGTTCAACAAATATATATTATGTTTTGTTTTAATTTATTTTATTATACAAATATATAGTCGGTTTTGTTTTAAATTATTTTATTGCACAGCCTCCATTTTTTAATTTTGGTTTATTTTTACATTGGTCATTTTGCAAAAAAGGGAATTGTGATTTTGAAGCAAGACAGCTGGTTCATCAAATTCAGCAACCTAAAGATACAAATAGTTAATTGAATGATACAATAAATATAAGATGTATACTAACCTTTCCATTATCAATCACAAGAATTCTGCTGCATGATTTGACAGTCTCTAGTCTATGTGCGATAATTAACACTGTACAATCTGATAACCCTTGGAAAATAGTCTGCTGAACAACGGATTCTGTACTTAGGTCCAGAGAAGAAGTCGCTTCATCAAAAATCATGACCTGCCAATAAAAAGAAAATAATAATTTGAAAAGAAAGAATGGATAAAAGAAAAAGAGAATGAAAAAAAGACAGACTTTAGTCTTTTTAAGGACAACCCTGGCAAGGCAGAGCTGCTGAACTTCACCACTTGATAAATTATCACCACCAAATATAACTTTGGTGTCCAATTTCGATTCACTTGCACTTATGCGATCCTTTAGGTTTACTTTCTGTAAAGCATCCCAAATTTCCTTATCACTATAAATTCCTGTTGGATCAAGATTGGATCTAAAAAATATATACTTATTAATACATACTTATTAAAAATATATATTTCACAAACTTCATGTCCTTGATGTAATACCATGTTGTAAAAAACATTGTAGCATTGTTTGATGGTAAATTCAAAGAAAATTTCCGATACTTGTAAACAAATTTAATGGACAATAAATGAACCATTTTATTCCACTACATGTTGCCACCTTTCAGACAATTCTGTGATTTCATCCTCCCAGAACCCAATAAAATTTTTCCCATTAAAAGTTTTCCAGAACCTGCATATCGCTCTGACAAACAGATCCAGTGGCTCTCAGATGCATTTAAATGCTTATATAAAATATGTTAAATGTTTCTGCAATGTCTGGTGTCATTGAGTGTGGGTTATTTGTGACAAAATTTTGTATGGCCATCAGTAACAGAAGAATAATCATAGAGCTTTGCTTCTTTCAAATTTGCTTCAAATGCTTTTGAATCGGCAAACCACAGACGCTTCTTAAGTATCATCCCCATACATATCACAAATTTTCCTAGCAGCAGCGGTGTTTTCTTTGTGGTTAAAAACAAAAAACAACACTAAATGATGAAAAGGCACTATTTTTTCCTCCATTTTAAATTACCATACACCTTGTAAAACATGAGATCTTGAAAGAAACTGATGAATAACAACACCTTAACTAATCCCTTTTCACAGTGCTAGAACAATAATATCTAAATAAACAAGAGGGATAAAATCAAATTGAAAAAACGCAATGGGCTGTTGATACAAGTCAATATTTTATTCAAAAATAATAATACTACTTGGGAGGCCGAAGTCACGATAGCTCAAGTGGTTAAAGCATCAGAGTGTAGGCCGGGATATCAAAGGTTCAAGTCCCGCTCGTGGCACTAATTTTTCATGTCAACCACAGTTTATATAAAAATTATAAATCAATTTAAATAATTACTATGGTTAGCGCGGACCAACTAAAAACATAAATTTTAATAACAGTATACTTAAGAAATACTTTGATTGAATATAAAAAATATATTTTGCATTGTATAAATTCACTTTTCCACATCCTAAATGTATTTGTTAAATGTAAACAATGTTTGTAAACCCCAGGCCCTGAAGATGATCTCAATAAAGATTGAAACGTTGGCAAGATAAAGAAAATGTTTTTCTGAAACCTACATCACACCAGACCGCATCTCACGATTTCTGAATAATTAAAGTAGACTTAAGAGTGTATTTTTGTCTTTTTCAGATAACCAATACACCAAATAGTTATTTATTATATCGGGTTGTCCGGAAAATAATGCAGGATTTTAAGTTTTCATTAAAAAAAATCTATATAAAATATTCTGTTTACGTTTACAGGATTACTCATTTGTATGAATGTCAACACTTATTAATCCTCTTCCAAATGATATTGTTTGTTTACCTCTGTAGCATTCCGCTACTTGGAAATAATTCAGTCATCCTTATAATGTCAAAGCGAGAATTTCGTACGATTTTCTTTTACGAGTTTAAACTCGGCCGAAGCGGAGCCCAAACGGCTAGAAACATTAACCAAGTCTGGGGCGAGGGTTGTGTTAATGAGTGCACTGTGCAAAGGTGGTTTAAAAAATTTCGGGAGGGAGATTTCAGCCTTGAAGATGAAGAAGGTCGTGGAAGGCCTTCCTCTCTTAATGATGATGTTCTGCGATCAGTGGTGGAAGAAAACCCCAAAACAACTGTTCGAGAACTTGCTGACCACCTCAAGGCGATTGGAAAAGTGAAAAAACTCGAAAATTGGGTTCCACACTCATTAAACGATCGCCAAAAAAATCAGCGCTTTGATGTTTGTGCATCACTTCTTTGTCGAAACAAAAATGACCCATTTCTGGCCAGAATTGTTACATGTGACGAAAAGTGGATTCTCTACGATAACACTAGACGTTCTGGACAGTGGCTCGACAAAGGAGAAGCTCCAATACATTTTCCAAAGCCCCCAACTCATCAAAAAAAGGTAATGGTTACGGTATGGTGGGCTTCATTTGGTTTAATACACTACAGCTTCTTAAATCCTGGCGAAACCATCAATGCTGAATCATACTGTAACCAAATTAATACCATGCATCAGAAATTGGCAGTAATGAAGCCCTCTTTGGTCAATCGGAAAGGGCCCATTTTGTTGCATGACAACGCTCGACCACATGTGTCACGTGTAACGTCACAAAAATTATTGGAGCTTGGCTATGAAACTTTGCCTCACCCACCCTACTCTCCGGACCTCTCGCCTACTGACTACCATTTTTTTAGACACCTGGACCACTACTTACAACACATAATATTCAAAAATCAAACGGAACTGGAAAATGCATTTATTGACTTTATCAATTCTAAAAATTCTGAATTCTACTCAGACGGAATTAATAAGTTACCAACACGTTGGGAGAATTATTTTGATTAAAGAACATTGCTTTAAAGTAACTAGTTTCTTTTTTTTTGTTTAATACCAAAATCCTGCATTATTTTCCGGACAACCCAATACAAACAATAAAATCTGTAATTACAAACTTGATAATGAAGTTCTTTTTAAAACTAAAAAAAAAACTTTAATGAAGTTCTTGTTAAAATTATTGTTACCTCACTGTCCCAGGAAACAGTACAGGGTCTTGTGGAATCAGAGATATCCTTTTTCTCAAAGTAATCAAATCAAGTGTCGAAATATCAAGATTGTCAATTATAATGCTTCCTTCACATATTTCCACTAGCCGAAAAATTGCTGATATTAAAGATGTTTTTCCAGCTCCTGTTCTTCCAACGATACCTTCACACACAAGGCAAATAGAATTAGCACAAATCCAGTCTTCAGATACTGAATAGATACCTATTTTTTCACACGGCCGGACATAAAATGATATATCGTTTAACGCGAATGGTAGCCCAGGGCGATACCTCAATTTAACATTTCTGAATGATATTGCACCCATGTCAGGCCATAAATCTGGTGGGATTCCTTTTGGTCCATGTCCACCTTCTTGCTCCAAACCCTGATAAATAATTTATAATAAATTTTTAGGGTATCTATTAAATCTGGCTGTTAAAATCAAAAATACCTTAATACAGGCATCAATCCTTTCCACAGAGAGAAATTTGATCTCTGTCTGATTCATCAATCGGACAGTAAATTGGAATAAACCACTTAAAGTTGAGGCATAAGAGATCGCAAGACCTGCCATCGCAGGAGGAACTTTTCCATGCATTATTATCACCAAAATGGATGTAATTAGAGTTACCAGTACTAAATAACAAACAAAATTTACTGAATAATATTAACATTAATTTATACGATTGGCATTACCTGCAATTGCATCAATTCGAACAGCCAACCACCTATTAGCAACTGAATTCATAAACATACACGTTGCATTAATATCAAATGATTTAACAAACCTGAAAATAATAATCCAGTTATTGAACTCTTGAAAAATGGAGTTTGGTATATAAATTACGATTTTCGGTGTATGTTCTTACTTCTGCAGAAATGCTTTTTCTTTTGAAAATGCATGGATAGTATCAAGGCCTGTAATCGTACATGTGATGTTACTAAATATTGGAGATCTTGTAACATTATCTAATCTTTTAAGCTCTCGAGCTCCAATTCTGTAAGGCAAAATACTGGTTACAAGATGTCCAATGGTATTATACAGCAAGTTGTATTGTGGACAAAAATATCTACCTGAATAATTTATTAACAAAATAATAAATTGTTGTCAACAAAATCAAAGGGAAGACAAAGAGAGGATAAGCCATACATATAAATAATAAAGCAAATGTAGTTTGCCATAAACATTGCAATAAAGATTCTATGGTAATGGGAAGACTAGTCTCAACTACAAATTATGAAATTAATGAAATAAATTATTATTAGAAAAAGTACAAAATAATTTTTTTTTAAACAATACTATAAAATAAGTTTACATATGAATGAAAACAAATTTTTCTTGAAGTGACATAATTATAGACACTATGTTAGAGTATGTAAGACGTTTTGTTTCCCCATTTGACATACATTTCCAAAGCAAAACATGTTATTTGGAATTGGTTGATTAAATTAGAAAAGAAGTCGGCCTTTTTAATGACCTGTGCATCACCATTATCTAGAGCTCCTCATTAAGTTTAAGGATTTTTAACAGAGCTTTTTCGAGGACTCCCTGTGTATCCTCCAGGACCAACTAGTGCTGGTTAGCTGCCCTAGTAGATGGCTATTCATTTAATGGTAATACCCAGCCTTTTTATCTCCTTGGCACAGTCATCGCCTGAAAGATGGTGGCATATTGCCCACAGCTTATTGGTTTATTACCATAAATACCAGCTCCTGATCCACACTTGGATTTGGTGCCATCTGTAATGGTGGCCCTAAGAGCAACAACAGAAAAACCAGGAGCAAGGTTGTCTGTTCCACTTACTTCGCAGCCACAGAGTGCTGCCCTCCTCACTTGCTCTTTCAAGGAAACTGCAACTAATCATTGGATACAGTACTATAGTGCAACAATAGTTTGGATATTTCATTCCACAGGAGGAATGGTATGGTATAAGGATACTAGGAAGCAGGGTTTGTGCTCCCCAGGCACTGCAGCCTTCTGGCTATTATACCTTCCTAGTTCCTTAGTTCAGTGCAATAGACTCTATCCTTCTCCTTAAGGTGGCCATTCACGATCATTCTAAATCGAACCGCGCCAAAACGTATAGCTCCATTTGGAGTGCCTGAAATTTGAGGGGGCATTTACGATCGCTCCACAGCCAGTCGCTCTGAACGTCATTTGGTGAATTACCTTCTCAAAATGGATGACGATCTCTTGTGCTACGCTGCTGATTGTTTATATATTAAAAGAAATGGTGTAAGAAGTGGCTCCTGAACAGAAGCCGTAATACCCACATCAATTTGATGAAAGATCTTTCCCTTGAACCCGCTGATTGGAAGAACTATTTAAGGATGGATGAAACGTCGTATTTATTCATTATATTTAGTGTTCTAGTGACCAAATTACTTCTTTCAATTAATTAATCTTTTTTTGTAAGGTTTTAGATGAAATGAAAAAGCTAGTGCCACGAGCGGGATTTGAATCCATGACCCGGATAAATACGCCAGTGCTGTACCACTTGAGCTATCGTGACTTCGATCCTCTCCGACACCAAAAAATAGCAAAAAGAGAAAAAATTTGAAAGGTTGTAGGTTGAGATGGGGAGTTGGGTCCAAGTGGATTGAACTATCGAAGTCACGATAGCTCAAGTGGTTAGCGCAGTGGTGTATTTAGCCGAATGTCGTGGATTCGAATCCCCTCATGACACTATTTTTTCATTTCAACCAAAACCTTACAAAAAAAAAAAAAAAAATTAAAGATTAAAAAAAGATTAACGTATTATTTACATTTACTCCAGCTTGTTACCCCCTTGATTAGAAAACAAAAGACAGTAATGAGAGAAATCACTCTACATGAAAGGTTGGCAACCACTTTATAGCTACAGGGATGAACTACAAAGAACTTAAGTTCTCTACTACAATTTCTGATCAGTGCTTAGGGGTTATCAATACCGCATCTCTCGTTGCATTTGTATCCTTTGTTTTGAAAACGATGAGCAACTGGTTGAGGACTGAATTTCTTTTATTTCTATTGTGGTAATCATTGTCCACCACTTTCCATAAACATGGTAAACTTTCATACAATTCAATCACCTCAACAATAAAATCTTGATTGGATGTCATTGCCAATAAAGAATAAACGTTTGACTTTTTGAGAATGTACGACGAAGATGTTTGCTCTGTAACAGAAAGACGGAGACTGCGCCAAAAAAAAACGCAGGTTTTCCCATTCATGACCAAGCCAGCGCTCCAATATTCCACCGTTCACGCCAGGTTTTCCCATTCATGAATGCGCCATACCGTCGTTGCGACATAGATATTTGGAGTGGCGCAATGGAGTTTGAACCAGTCTAATATTCGGCACAGCCAGGCACGCCAGTTCAGTTTTGCCATTGACATGGTTTTTGGAATGGCGTCGCTCCGTTTGGACTGCTAGGAGCGATTGCGAATGGCCACCTTTAGAAGTATCAGGTCATAGACTGTCACTGCTACAACTTCATTCCTTAAGTTTTTTCATATGTTAGGTTGAATCTCCAATGAGCTGTTGCTTCGCATTCGAAGATGATATGAGTGGCTGTTTCCTCCTCCTCATTACATAATATGCAGATGGGATCTTCGTTTTATACGCCCATATAGTTTCGATGTTTTCTCAGATACCAGTGACTGGTTAGTAGTCTTATCACTGCTCTGAGTTTAACCCTCTCCAGTTACAGCAGTGATTTTGCTAGTCTTCGTGAGGGTTGTGCACAGGAGGAAAGGGCATGTAGACATGAAATTGCCCTTCTTCCATGCAATTACACAATACCTTGTCACAAAGGTGTCAGCCTGTGGAGTGATACCAAACTGGTTGAGTCCCTGTGACTTTCTTTTCTTCTTCTTACTTTTAGATTTTCTTCTTTTTGCCTCTTCTGGGCGAGTGACATTGGAGATGTTGGGACATATGCCTCCAACATCACCTCTTTCTCACCCTTAGGTGAGCCAATGTCTGCTCTTTTCCTCTTTGATGGCATGAGCTTCCAATTATGTCGTCTTAAGTCCTTGTCCATGCTCTGTGTTCCTATCCCCAATAGCTGTGCCACAGTATACACCGAAATTGGAAGGCTGCTGCCTCCACCACGGACTTTGCCTGCTTCTGGTCTTCCGGATCTAGAGCCTAGCCAGCCGGTGGGGCTGCCAGCTTAGGATTAGGGCGCTAGCACAACCCCTCATGCTCGCTTCACCCAATAGCTACTGGCCTGGTTGCGATAGTGGGAAAAAATCTCTTAGGGCCAGTAACCCTAGGGTGTGTGCTGTTGGCATGCTTATGTTAGTGTGAGTATGCAACAAGTGAACAAACATGCATTGTGGTATTTATGTTTCCCCTAGTTTGCACGTGGTTACCCACAGCCAGCCAGAGGCGCACTGGCTTTGATTAGATCCTGGATCAGGATGCTGACACACCACACACCCCAGGACTGAGCCCAATGAAACATATTTTGATCTTTATTACAGGGGTCATGTGTATAGTTTACACCCTTTCCCAGGAGCTTTTATTAAAAGAAACTTTAATCGTATGTCTATTATTATGTCATATAAACAATAAAACAAAATAAGGATAGATGGATCAAAAGTCTAGATTACACACAAACCTTCATCCACATCTTTTGCGAATAGGTTCTGGTATCTTCCAATAGATACAGATTCAAAGAAAATCATTTTGGCTTTCAGAACTTTATCAAGCAATTGTCTATGCAATTTTCTCGATGCATTTAAACAAGTCTGAAAATAAGTGTACAATTATAATAATTAAATTTTTCAAAACGATATTTATAAATAAAATGATGATACCTTGGCGACCACAAATCCTCTAATAATAGTTGTTAAAAAAATAGCGACAATACAAAGGCAGTATATTATTTGATAATATTCAAAATCAGAGTTTTTACTTAAATCATAATCATCTTGATCAAACACCATAGAAGATATTGTACTGGAAATATCAACGGTTGGGAAAAAATCTGATTCTGTGCTATTCAAGGTTGAAATATCTTCTGTGGTAGTAATATCAGTAGTGTAATTTTCTGTTATGTCATTTTCTGTAGTGGAGTTCCAATCAGTTGGCATCGTGGTGTCAGACAATCTTTCTGCAGTAACATTTTCAAAATTATGTACAACCTAAAAAAACATTTGTCATTTTATATTACATAATATTATTAAAGGTTAAAAAAAATACAATAAAACATTTGGTACGCTTTTACATTCACTTACCCCGCTTCCAGCTTTAATCCACTGGGCTAACCACCATGAGCTGAAAGCTGAAGAGCCAACGCTCAACCCCACAGCTAATATGACTAAGAATGACACGAGCACACCACCTACGGCTCTAACATAAGTATAGAAGGTACCGCATTGAATTGAACCTTGTTCAATTTTTTCAACTGTAGTTAACTTTCCAATATTAGCATCTGTTGGGAATGACACAAATTATTTCTTGTTAATTTTCAAGTATGAAAGCATAAAAACAATAGTAAATTCACACATACCCACATAAGTCACATAAAGTAAATAAAAGTATAATTAAGGTCAAATATATTTAATAGATAAAAATATTTCTGACTTCTAAAATTAAGTAAACTACTTGTTGAGTGGTACAGAAAGGTCTAAGGCCACTTAACAGCATTTTTAAAATGATACACACATATAAAAATTATCAAAAACAAACTCCAATGGCAACACTGAAAAACTATGATATGCCAACAACAAATTGAAGTACATTTGTAGCCAAATCTAATTATTTTTGACCTAGAACTATTAGTTTGTTACACAAACACAAATAATAAGTAAAGTTATACCTTTCGTTTTATCCCTAGTAGAACGTTTTATAGTGTTCCTCTTAATTTTATCTTTTGCCTCTTTTTGTTTTGCAGTCTCAACATTTTTCTTTCTAAAAAATCATAAAGGACATTAAGGAACAATTACTGAATAGTTAGTACTTAGTTAAGTAAAGACTCTGAAACAATTTTTCAATAAATTGAAATAAATTATTTATTCTGTAAGGTTCATATTTTATGTATTATATTGTATATTATCATATATTGTTCATTTTTATCAATGACTTTTACTGTCTTTCAGGCAGCATTATGTTTCCAAGTTTTTAAAACTTTTGATCATTAAATACGAAAAATTGAACCAAGTGTGATAACATCATCATGATAAAATCGAGGGGCGAAGTCAGGACTGTACTGTGTTGCCACATCCCAGTGAAGCTCTAATAATTTTTGCCAAGTGGTCAAGGATATGAGTGCCTTGCATTATCCTGTTGGAACTATACACTTTCAGTTTGCCAATTTTGGGTTTTTTTCTTGGAACATGTCTACTTGGCTGATTAACTTCCACTTCATCAACCCTGTTATAGAACTTGTTTACCAATTTTCAAATTTATACTTGAGATAACACTTTTTTCCACTTTGAACTTTTATTAGTATGCTAGTATCAGATCCTATAGTTTTGCCACTTAATACAATGCAAAAGTTACTTAATACAGAAAAAGTTTTCCCTGATTTTGTAGCTTTAATTTGATTAACATTGATTTTGCTCTGAACATTCTAGACACGTGATAATTTCTTTTTGACTGAATGTTTGACACATACTGGTTTTTCAAAAATACAGCATATAATTCTGTTTTCCCCCTTGTACAAATTTGTCTCTCTTGCCAGTTACTAGAAAAGATGTTTTGACTTTTGGGTAACTTTTACGAACATGAAAATACACTAGTAGCACCTAGTGACCTGGCAATCCGAGGCCAAACATAACAAAGTAACAAAAATATAGGAGCCAGAACAGTACAATAGTTTTAAGAAAATGGAAACAGACTGTGCAAAAACATTACTCAATTCTCTTTGAACATGGAAAAAAAAATTTCTTGAACTTTTTCAGTGGGAAAAATAGTGGACGAGTTTTACTAAGTATCTGAGTTACTCCACAGAGATCAGAATTATTATGTATTATTGCCATTTTCTCTCGACCATTCATAAATTCAAATACTAGGAAGCAAATATGTATCAATATTTTAATGAGAATATCAAAAACCAAAAATATTGCGATCATGGGTTATTGGCCGCCCTACTTGGTAAAGCATATTCACATTTGAATTAATTGTCTAGTGTCACAGTAGGATTTCAAAATATACAACTAATATCACCAAATGAAAATCATACGCTTTCTTAGATAAAATTGGATTCTTTTTTTGTGCTAGTGTCTTTTTCTTGTTCCGTGATCGTTTTCACATGATTGCACACTCCCCATTTTAATTGGATGTTTGTCTTGACATTAACATGTTAGATCAAGCGAATTTCCTTTAGTTAATGAGGAAACTTAAATCTATCTTTCTATGTTCCCAAATTCTTCCAATGATTTTATATGTATGTATGTGATACATCGAGCTTCTGTGCACTCTCTTGGACCTCTATGATGATCATCGATTATTGCCTGAATTTGGAGATCTACAATCTCATAGAACCAGTGTTGTTCCTCTTTCAATGAAAAATCACCATCCCTAAATTTAGCAAACCAATACTGGCAAATGATTTTTTTTAAGGCTTTGACACCATATACAGCACAAAACTTTTTGTGAGCTTGATGAATTTTTTCCTTCATACGAAATACTTATACTTACTACTGAAAATTACTAAATAGTAAATAGATAGTCAAGATAAAACAACAAAAATACAATTTTTATTTACTTCACTGACTTGTAAAATCTGTAATTCGTTTTATGCTATGTCAACAATTATGCTGGCTGTAGTAAAATCTGTAGTGGTGTCTTCAATGTATTCAATATTTTATAAATTAAAGGAAAAAAACATTTTTACATAATAAATTAAATATTTTTTTAAATGTCAATTAAAATTGTGCTTTAATATGTGATAGGTTTGAATCAACCCCACTTTTTTGTGTGTAGATTATGTTGTAGCGAATCTGTGTGAGGTTGCAGCAGATTAAACCTACAATTGCATGCCAAGTAACTGTAGGTATACAACTATACAATGTGTTCATACAAACTGTATTTATGCAGTCATCATGGCCTGTAGGTTCACAACATAGTTAAAATTAAATTTTTTTTTTTGCAATAAACTATAAACTTAAAAGAATACAATATGTAAGAAATATTTTGTGCTTAATGTAGAAATATATCCAACATAATTTTTCAATAATCTCATTCAGTTATATTTTTTTATAATTAAGGAACTTTAATCAGATTTTTTGTTAAATGGTCTTATGGGCTCGCACATTAGACAGATTATGTAGTTGATTGGTTCAAATCAACAACTACTGTTGTTGGGGAATCGAACCCATGACAACGGGGTTTACTAGCCACGAATCTATCAGCTAACCACTACTACCAGCTACCGTGATCCCCCCCGTTGTATTTTCAAATGTAAATTTTATGTTGTCAACTTAATATTAAAACACACTTACATTCCTTTATCATTTGTATACGTTTCCACAAGTATTTTATATTCAGTGCTTTTTGACATAAGATCATTATGACTGCCCCTTTCCAGAATTCTCCCTTCTTTCATAAACACTATTTCATCACACCTACTTAAAAACTGAAAATACAAACAAATATTTAAGTTTTTTCACGAGTAAATAAATTGCTGGAAAAAAAACAACAACACTTACTTGGATTTTATGGGATACAAATATAACAGTCTTTTTTGCAAGTGCATTTAAAATGCACTTTTCAAATATATGCATAGCAACTTGCGTATCAACTGCACTCAATGGATCATCGAGTAAGTATATATCTCTGCAGAAAATGATAAAAAATCGTAATATTAAAAAACTACTTGTACCATATAACTATACTAATTGTGTCATACATACATAACTTATTATGTACTACGTGAGATTTTATAAATGACATGGCCTTTTATTTTGACCCTCCCAATTTTATTGTAAAACTAAGTATTTTCCAAAGGTTTGGCTGCAAAATTTTGCACATAGTATCTGGTGCTTTTATAACTTTAATAAATTGGTGTGTAAGCCAATCTGGTCTTTTCTCTCTTTTTTTCTTCAAATATAATACCCTCTTTTCACACATTTTAAAGTTCTCTCCTTTCTAAAAAAATGTATATCAGAAAATCAAAAAATTATTGGTCCTGGAGAGAGTGAAGATTTCATTCAGTACCTGGTAATTTTTATTTATTTACAACTGGTTAAAAGAAAGAAAATTGAAAATTTAATTGAATAATATTTTAAAAATCCATTTTTTGTTTATTTTTTAAATCGAAGTTTACACAACAACAACAACAAACAGTTACATGATAAAATTAAATGATCGAGTTCTGAAGGAAAACTTCTACACCTCCAGAAGGAATCAGTGATTTTTGAGTTTCTGGTATAATTTGTTTTATATTGGAAATACTTTCAAAATGTATTAAAAAAATCATCATCAACAATTAACTTGAATAGAAAAATTAATTGAACTAGAATGAACAGAATTGAACTAAAGGTCTTTCCATTCTAAAAAAATAATACCAGAAACTCAAAAATTCATCGATTTGTTCTGGAAATATTGAAATTTTCGTTCTTAACTCAAAAGTTTCAATTTAGTGTGTAACTAGTTAAAAAATGAGAAAATTGAACATTTAATTTATTTTTTAAAACATATATTTAAACAACAACTATTAATTAAACGATAAATTGAAATTATTGAGATTGAGTTCTGAAGGAAAACGTCAATACCTTCAGAACAAATCAATGAACTTTTTTCTTATAATGAAAAGAATTTGCAAAATTTGTGAAAAATAGGGTATTACATTTAGAAAAAAAGTTGATCATCCGGTCGGCTTAACTTATTAAAATTCTATTAGCACCAGCAGATCCTACATGAAACCTTTAGAACCATACCAAATTTTACTATAAAATAGGCCATATAAAAATAAAACTAATAAAGAAATCAGAAATTACTTAATTAGCATTAAAGCTTTATCTTAAATTCAAATCATTAAACACTTCAATCAAACAGAATAACTTGAATGATTACATTTCATATGACTTTTTTACATTTATTCATTCATTCAGTTGTTTTTAATACTAAAATACCTGTTGGAATACAGTGCTCTTGCTAGGGCAACTCTTTGTTTTTGGCCACCTGATAAATTTACTCCCTTCTCACCAATTTCTGTTTCATCTGCTCCAGGTAATAAATCGATATCTTTGTCTAAGGCGCAACAATGTAGAACAGCAAAATATCTACAAAATTAATTAATATTAGTGGTGTTTATAATTGTACAAAATAAAAACAACAAACATTTAAATCATTTCTCTAGGCTTTACTCATAATGTACCTTTTATTTCATTATTGAATAAACTTATCAAATAGTATGTGATAATGTATTATTTATTACTATGCATGAGCAGGTTGTCTTTGGGCTGTTAAAGGCATTAGCTGTTGAAAGTTGGATGAGAATATTAAATTTAAAAAATAATTAGTGACAAATACCCCATAGCCAATTTAGAAAACAGTTAAAAGGTTAAATAAGAAAATTGTTCAAAAGTGTGCATTCCTGAAAAAAACCGTAGGTCATTTTTCTTTATTTAAGTATAATTCTTGATAATGAGTCAAATCAACTCCCTAATTGTATTTTGCAAACAACACCCTATCGATAAACAAGTTTTCAAACCAGTAGGATTTTATCTACTTGAGTACATATCTTACATAGTGCAAAAATTAAGAAGAACAATAAAAAAAATATATAAATATAATGGTGCCAAAATTGGGGAATATTAAATGCATCTTTTCTACTTTTAACTGAAAACAATGCAATCAACGTATGTACTCACTTCATTATATGTGGCTAATGGCTATGTTATAAAGCCCAACTTCAGCTTTCAACCATTTTTCTGAAACATCGAAATATATTTTCAAACGGAGAAATGCCGATTTACTGTTTTTTACAGAACAACAAAACTTAACTCCCGAATTTCTAATAGATCATACATTTTGGGAAAATGAGAACTAATCTACTTTCTCATGTGCATAGTTTTTCAAATAACTCATTCCAAATTACCTATTTCGTTTTTATATTTATTGATTAATCTGAAGGGCAATGTAGCAAGATAGGCATGCAGCTAATAGAAATAGAAAATTTGCATTAGCATGAAAAGGGAAATAAGAGTTTTAATAGTGTTCAATGCAGCTTACCTTTTTGCGTTGAACTTCTCACCAAACAAAATATTTTCTTTTAGAGTGGCGTTCATCAGCCAAGCCTGCTGAGAAACATATGCACATGTACCGTTTCTGCAGAGCTTCCCTTCGGTCATTCTTATTTGCCCAAGAATGCCACTAATTAGGGAAGTCTTACCAGAACCTACAGGACCACATATTCCAATCAACGATCCCTACAATCAATATACAATAAGGAACTAATTAAATCACTCAGCAAGTCTATAATCTACCTTTGGTGCATAGAAGTTAATATCAAACAATATGACTTGATATCTGGGCGCTGTTAACTGCTTAAGTAAAGTTGCTGTATTTTCAGCGTCAGATGATTCCTCATCTTTGATGCTGGTACCATTTCTGAAAAAAGAAGTACATTACTGCTTTAAATAATTTCTGCCAATTTGTACTGAGAGTAAAGCAAGTTGAAAACTGCCCTACAATAAAACTAAATAAATAAAAGTTGTTATGCAGTTGGTAAGTAAAATCATGATAACTCATGAAGGGATAAATTCTGTGATGATCTACTATGGAACCTTGGCAGCCGAGTGTTAAGCATGTTGCCCCTGGCCGCTCCTTTCCGCAATAAATAAATATGATATTATATACTATAATACTCTGCTCTTGCTAATATGCAAGGATATAAGTCCATAAAAAGTACAACTAAAACTACCCAACTTTCTTACGGATCTATAATTATAATAAATTTGTGGTGATTAGTGACCGTTAATCGATATTTATTTAGAAATCGTGAGATGCGGTCTGGTGTGATGTAGGTTTCAGAAAAACATTTTCTTTATCGTGCCGTTTCAATCTTTATTGAGATCATCTTCAGGGCCTTGTGTTGTCTGCATTTCAGAAAAAAGTTCTCTGATTGATGGCCGATGCGAATTTCTTCTCATTGTTGGCGATGTCCTTTTCAGTATACTTTTAGCTTCGTGTCCATATGTAGTTGCAATTTGTTCATACAATCCCATGTTCTTCGTTCTTCTCTTTTTCTGAACGGTCACTAATCACCACACATTTCTACACGAGAAGAACGAAGAACATGGGATTCTATGAACAAATTGCAACTACATATGGACACGAAGCTAAAAGTATACTGAAGGACCTGAAGGACATAGCCAACAATGAGAAGAAACTCGCATGGGCCATCAATCAGAGAACTTTTTTGATGAAATGCAGACAACACAAGGCCCTGAAGATGATCTCAATAAAGATCAAAACGTTGGCACGATAAAGAAAATGTTTTTTCTGAAACCTACATCACACCAGACCGCCTCTCACGATTTCTAAATAAAAATTATAATAGATATTATAACATAGTTTTTTTGGGGAAAATCTCTTTGTACAACTTGCCTGACTGTATAAAGAATAACTTACTTGATTTTTTTGTTTTTCTTCAGTGTTGTAATTTGATTATTTAAATAACAGGCAAAATAGCCATTTGCAATACACACAGCCTGGGATTTGTCCAAAGGTCTCGACAAGTATGTTGTTGTTTCACTCAAAAGGAGAACACTCTAAGAAAATATATGAATTAATAAAAGAACAGTTATCTGAGTATCTTAAGTTGATTTTAGGTTTATCATAAAAAACACTTAAAGAACTAATTTGGTACATACTAGACATTGCTTGCTAATTAATTATGCCATCACTATTCTAGATATTACATTACCAGCACATCACATTCCCTTAGACCAACAGTATTAATTAACCTCAGGGCAACCTTATGTTTTTAAATAAAAATCAAGCCAGCATACATTTACAACCCCAGAACTTTACAACGACAATTACTTTGGGAGAATGCCTGTACCAAAAAGTAAATTTCATCAAGTCTACATTTTTTCTAATGTTCTAACAGTGGTTCCCAAAGTGGTCCATACGGACCCCCAGGGGACCCTGATAACATTCAGGGGTCCATGGAAAATTAAAATTGATTTGGGGGTCTCTGAACAACGACAGGGGGTTCCGCGCAAGCATTAATATAAAATAATATAATATAAAATAATATAATATAAAACAGAAGTACGTTGGCTATCTAAAAGTGCATGTTTAAATCGATTATATGCGCTCTTTGATTCAGTGTTGGAATTCCTGGAAACCAAAGACAATGATTTGCGACACAATTTAATTAACTCAAAAAATGACATAGCCTGTATGTCTGATTTATTTGCCAAATTTAACGAAACTAATTTGGAACTACAAAGTGACCAATTAAATTTAATCAAAACTAAAAGCATAATATCTGCGTTTGTTGCAAAGCTTTTTATTTACAAACAAAACTTGGGAAGAGGAGAATGCTCTCAGTTTCCAAATCTTTCGAAATTGCAAATTAGAGATGAAGATTTGCTTGCTTACTGTCAACACTTAACGGCTCTTCATACAGACCTGAACCAAAGATTTGAAGACATTCTTCATTTGGATATTCCCAACTGGGTGTTGAACTCTTTTGCACGTGCATTCAGTGCCGTTATGAACCTCATCTCAAAAGAAAGAAACCGATTAGAAATCATACACTCATAACATCTCATCACGTTCATCCAAGTCATTAATTTTTTTTATATTTTAAACAAAAGTAATTAATATTATAATTTATATATATTTATAATTTCGAAAATACTTCTTCAACAAAACTTTTTTTTTTATTTGTATTTTTTATATTATGCATTTATGTGGCTTTTTCACTTGGGGGTTCGTGGGCAATTTTTGACTATAACAAGGGGTCCATGGGTCAGAAAAGTTTGGGAACCACTGTTCTAACGTAATGCACAATTAACATTAAACTAATAATTTTCTAGTCAGAAGATCTTTTAAGACTAGGACAAACTTGTCTGCAACATTTGTATTATTAATTTTTTGGTGCATGCAAGCATAAATTTCCATACTTTTTCATTAAATATCTAAGATGAGCTAGTCTGTTTGGAGTCAACCATTGACTGCTCCATTTGCTACTGTTTTCAATAATTTTTTTTTAAGTGTTGATGAATTGACCACTTTTCTACTCGCAATACTCTGATTTATGATTTTTCAGACGATTCCAAGTTTCCTTGAAAATCAACATTGACCAATATTGCCAATGACTGTAACAGTATTCAACTACTATTATACTGTTACAGGCCTTGGCAATGTTGAGCCTGAGTCGGTTTAGTCAGTCCCATACTAGTTTATCATCTCTGATTTTTTTTTTTTTTAAATTTTATAGAGTACCTTAAGAAATGGAGTACAGAATGAGACATTTTCATGTCATACACAAATATTTCTTTATTTAAAGTGTTGTAGTTGGCTCCCTGTCTTTTTTCCCTTCCTAGATAAAGTTTCTTTAAATTAGGAATATCCAAGAGGCACGTGGTTTTTATAAAAGGTTAGTTCATTTCACATTTTTTCTTCTATGTTTCAGGCTATTTTTTTCTGCTCATCATCAAGAAACCGTAGCAGTCTCACTACCATCCCAATGTTTTTTTTTTTGCTATGAGGAAGCTTCAAATTGTCTCTCCTCAAATGGCATTACAGAAAGAAAGTGAAAATTTAAAATGCCTCTGTCCTGGCCAACAGGCCAAATAAGAATGCTATCTCGAAAAAACACGCACAAACAACAATGGGATGGTACGCAGAGTCTGTTGGGGTATCCTGATGATGGGCATGAAAAAATAGCCAGAAACGTAGAAGAAAAAATATGAAATAGACTAACTTTTTATAAAAACCACGTCTCTTGGATACTCTTAAATTTTTCTGGGTAAAATTTAGAGATTTATAGCACATCCCTCCTCTCATGCTGCCATTGATAAATAGAAACTATATATTTTGGTAAAAAATATAACGATATCCAAGAAACAGTGCACATTCAAGAGAGCTTCCACAGACGATAATGATCTTGTTGATGATCACATTGAAAAAATTTTACAATTTACATACATATTTTTATGAAATTACTACTCCAAAATGTTAACAATAAGGGCACAAAGGCATGCACATATACAGTATCAATCTATGCTAGCCCGTAATTGTACAGCTGACATGCAAAATGTACAAATTTACAAAACAGTTGGGATGAATGTTATACTGCAATGTAACATGTATATAATTTTCAACACAACTTAATATATTTTTGTTTAGATTTATAAAATGATGTTAGTAATTAACTCCCTCCACATGACATTGTTTAATGTTCCTTGTTTTGTGAAGTTGTACAAGTGGTTGATGTATTTTCCAATGTTTAATATGATCTTTATTCTTTGAACATCATTATTTCAGCCAGCTTAGTTTTAATATTTACTCATCTTGAGCTAGTTTAAATTCAAAGGATTCGGAATTAGATCACTTATTTGATCGGTGCCCTGTATAATAATTGTTGTTTGAAATGATTTGTAATAGATTAAGCATTGACATTTATTAAAGTTATTAAGTCAATTTATTAGTTACTAAAGTCCTTGATCAAGGTTTAAGGTTTCAAAAAAAATTTAGAAAATAATGGAATATTCTCAAAATCATCAAAAATATTTCCTTTTTATTTAAACAAGTATAGTGTGTAATAGATTGCCACTGGTCTAGTAATATTACAGTAACAGAACAGTAAGTGCTGAGGAAAAATGGTGCTAATATTAGATATTACTTATTACTTTTATAGCGTACTACTGTAAAGCGTGTAGAAAAAAATGTGATAGTACTCATACAGCATGATAAACAATCCCGTATAATGCAAGTTGGTATAATATGACAAAAACTTGCCACTAGTACGCATACAGTATTATAAAACAGACCTGAGTAACGTGCGCAAGATAAATTTAACATTTTCACATAGTTTCTGATTTTTTGTTTAGAAAATCAAATGTATACACTTACCTGTTGTTTTATAAACAGTGAAGCTGACAGTTTAAAAAAGTTTTATATGAAACAAATTAGTTATGTACAACACTAACAGACTATATGAAATGGAGTAATTTTTAAACTTAATCACATCTCAATAGCAATATGTGATAACCGTTACAATTTAGAGACATGCCTGAACTTGCATAAATTGGTCTGATAATGTGTGTCCTGTATAACGCGATTTCCTTTTACATGAAACGTATCCCCTGTGTTGTACAAGTGTCTACGGTATATACAACAAATAATAATAATAATAATAACAACAATAAAAAATGAGAAGAAAATAAAAAGTAAATGAACTGGGGAAATAGTTTAGGGATGGTTAGGGATAGTTTATAGTTTATGTACCTTAATTCTCTGGCTTATAACAGTAAGATCCACGATATTGCTCAAACCATATTGAAAGTGTGTGAGGGATAATCTCATTTGTGTAGAAATCATTGCCATTAATGGAAAAGCCTGAAATTATTATTTAAATTAACTGAAAGCCCCTGCATGCACGAAACATGAATCCTGCCAAATCAATCAAAATAATTAACAAATGGTTATTGTGTTGTTTGGGTTTGAGATTATGTATATATGATTTTCTTCGCACGAAACTACCTAATATTTTTGAACTTGATCAATCTATCAAATCTAAAAATTAAAGGTCTTGATAGCTTTTATTAAAATAAAAATCTTGAGGATAGAAAATATTCATTTTTTAGAGAATGATGGTGTTACAGAATATAATATAGTTAGTAAATAGTATTTTTTTATTAAGCTGCCAGACCAACAAGAACAAATCAAGCAAAACCTATTTTTTGTTTGTAAATTAACCTCAAAGCGACGTATGGCCAAGTTGAATTCCAACAATGATTTGAATCCTTCCTTTGTAAATTGTAAATTTTTTTTTAACAGCCCTACGCAAAGGGAAATAACTGTGAATGCCTGCAATTAAACGGATTAGCACAGTAATAATTATTACTATTTCAAACAATTTAACACTGAGATTTTATATTCAATACAACAATCAGTTACGGAGCAAGATTGTAAACAAATTTGACATATTGTGAAAATGTTTTGTAAACAGTTAGGAAAAAAATGACTTCAATAATATTAATGTGTAACTAAATATTAAAAAAAAAAAATTTCTTAACCCAATGTCCAAAACATTCTGGATTGATAGTGAAAACGTTTATTTCAGTCAGATAAAATGAAAGCATTACCTGAGAAGCAGCGAGATGACCAGAAACCATAATATGAATTATAAATGTCAAAATTGCAGACAAGATTGGTGCTGTGGCTGAAACTGACACAGCGAAACTTTCGCAGTAAGTTCTTTTTTTAACAAAATTCAGTTCCTTCTTGCGTATTTCTATGAGTAAAAACAAAAAAAAAATACAATTAAATATAATTAATATGTATGTATAACATAATACTAAATACCATCAACGTTGTCTTTGAAAACATCATTCCAAGCATAAATCTTGACGAATTTCATTTGACTGAGCATATTTGTTATTGTTGAAATCCTTATGTCAGTCACCTTCAAACTGAGTGCTTTATAATGAGATGCCAACCTTGCTAGCCCATACTATAACAAGGTAATAATAAACAATTGTTTCATCTGTATATTCAATAACAAGGGGAGGGCTACGGATGTGGGAGCATAGATTTTTTTGTGATACTGTGCCAAAAAAAAAAATTAAACATGTGTCTGAGCATTCTTGCCAAAAGCCCTAGAAGCCAAGAGAGAGAGAAAAAAACCATTTTAGAAAATGTAGTCTTTTGTATTTGTAATATATGTTTGTACCTTTTTTGTGCATGCATTTTAAGGTTATCATATGTCAGTTGATTTTTTTTTTTTAAACAGGATATGAAAATACTTAGTAGTATTGCATTAGATGAGATTAGATATATAAAAAAGTTACAAAAACCAAAAGGTGTTTTCAGTAAAATAGGCCAAAAAAATTATTTTTGAAGAAAACCATTTTCAATGACAATAAAAATATAGACTTTTTTTGTGTGGATTTGCTATGAGAAATTTTTTTCTCGCAGATGTCAGATGTTCCACTTAAAACTACACCGAAACTGCTGTGGTCGCCGACACCCCTAATATTTTTTGACCTAGTATCACCAAATTTTTTTTATTGAAATCTGTGATCCCGTGCCCGTAGACTCCCCTTGTAAAAAACAATTAAATACCTGGATTGGATAGAATAAAAACATAACTAACAATCCAAAAACTGGCCATGGACCTAACATAAAAAACACATATCCAATTCCAAATAAAAGACTCACTGGACTAGAAACAATCATAGGTGCAAATAACAGTAAATCAAAAATTCGTTGTCCATCATTAGCAAACATATTGACAATCTGTAACAAGAGCATATTATTTATAATTAGATTTATATTGCATACTTCTTTTAATGTTACATTCGGGTGTAGCAAAACTCTGCGGTTTCTATGTACTATTTAATGACATTATTACATTTAAAATAATGATAGCTGTAGCTATTCTTCTACTATATAAATAATTTTGTAATTTTGGGGTAATTTGAAATATTAGGAGCTCTCCCACATTTTATAAGTGAATAAGGCTGGTTAAAAGTAGATGTATATATAATTAAAGATACATTGAATTGAATATAATTATAATCCAGTTTTAGAAGAGAAAAAAAATGTACAGGCTTTTGATACAATTAAATAGCTAGCAGTTTCTATTGAAGAAATAACTTTTCTTGAACCATTTAACAAATTAAAATTGAATTTGCACTATATTATCTCTGAGTTTGGTCAACCATTAATTTTGATTAAAATATTTGATGATTGTTGGACAAAAAACTATGTTAATTATTGAAAATACTATATCATTAATTGAATTATAAAATTTTACTTATTAAATACCTATTCTAATATAAACAGTTGGATTAATGAGTTTTATTTCATTATATCCACTGGCTAGGCTGGATTGTCCAACATTGCGTTGAGCAATAAAACAACATAAAGATTAGATAACACCATTTATTAAAGAATAGGATAAACTGCAATGACATTGTAAACTTGTGCAATTTCCATATTATTTTCGCTGCAATGTCGCAAGTTATTTAGCCGTAAATATTCAGTAACAAAAACAAAACTTACTTCACCGACGGTTTTGTTTTCCATACAGTAAACTCTTAGAATTTTTCTGTACAGCATTGCCAAAACAGCTGACCTCAATCTCATTGATGTCCTAAAATTTTTTGTTAAATTTGTACAATTTAATAACTGAATTAAGGGGCAAACATGTTGGACTTGATTAAGACATACCTATAATTCATTATCCAAGCAACTGAATAAATTATAACCCTGGTGATTTCAGTGATTCCAAGTAAAACTGTCCATTGCAAACCTTCCCAGTATGAAGCATCACTCGTTTCAGTAAATTCTAACAGGTATCTCATGAAAAATGCCTAATTAAAAAAAAAAAAAAAAAAAGAACTTAATAAGGTAATGATTAATTATAATAGATTTTAATCTTATTAATAATACTCACAACTGATATAAAATTAAGCGTAACATATAAAGTAAATAATAAGGCAGATATAATAATTCTTGTCCTAATAAACCTCCAAATGGCGTAGACAAGAGATGCACTTTGTGTACCTTTCTTTGTAACTTCTTCATTCCAAATAGTTTCTAATCTATTCAAAATTGTTTATGTAAGAAATATGGATTACAATAAAAAATGTTGCATAAATACCTTTGTACATTATATTCACAGGTGTCAAAAGGTGAAGGGTTAGGCACATCTTCAACTTTTAGAAGTCCTTTATGGAAGGCAAGTTTGAAATACTTTGTTAGCCACTTAATGGTTAAAAAACTCCAAAGACCTGCATTGTCTAATTCTAAAATGTTTTGCTCTTTCCTGTAGATAAAGTATTTTTTAAATCTGACACATAATGGAAAAATAAGAGAAAAAATTGATTAAAATATTACGTTGATTTTCGACGGACTGGAATGAGATTTTTTAGAGAAGGACGATATCTGGAGAACCCAGTAGATGGAATGTACTGTTTCGGAGTATCCCAAGGTCCTGATAAACCAGGATCTCCTTTTTTACGCTCCTTTGGATAATCATCTGGGGCGTCAAAGCTACGGAATTATTGATTAGAATGAACAAATTTTTAGAAAATAATGAAAATAAGGAAATTATTATATTTTAAAATATTACAATTCTTCTCCGTCATCTTCAAGGTAGATATCTTCCCATAAAGGTGTTGTTTGGTCAGACGATTCTGAGGGCTCTTGAGAAGACTCTCTCGGCTTATCGTTGTTTTCACTCATTGCAATTTGTCTACTCCATATAAAAAAAACTGGGAAATTTTTTTTCAATTAATTTTACTAATTAATAATAATTTTATCAATTAATTGCTGTTGTGTTCCTTGTTTAAATATTTTTTGTGTGTTTTATCAACACATGGAAAAACACTAGATATTTTAAAAATATTATCTTTATTTTCTTTATCTGAAAATCTTCAGTCACACAGATTTTGTTATAAATAACATTAAAGAAATATTTAGACAAAGTTTAAAAATAACACCTGCGAAGTTTTTTCTGTAAGTTTAATGATATCTGTTTCAATTAATAAGCAAAAATTGATTTTATAATATGAACAATAAAAACAAAAACCTAATTTGTGAAGACCACTTTCATAATTACTCTATTAAAAATGCTTTAGTGAAAATTTTTGCATATTTTCACAATTGATGCTTATGTTTGGTTGCTTCGCACAGAATATATAAAAAAAATTATATAATATTTAATCGATATAGAAGATTTATATAATATATATGATAAGGTATACTGTGCAGTTTTTATATTTTAAACTAATGAAGAAAAAATGCAAAAGATAAAAGAATCAAGATTAAGAATTTTTTAAAATGTATTTAACTTTAAAAAAAATTCCATCATGAGTTATGAAATCAACTAATTTCTTCTAATGTTCAAGCTACAAGATGTTACGTTAATGCTATTAAAAGAATTCTGCCTAAATTTAGTTTGCTCCTTCTGAACTGAAATATTTCTCAATGGCTTAGACACCAAATATTTGTTTGTAACCATTTTTGAAGATCTTGAGCACTTCTGTTAATTGAGATAATTTGATAACAAGGGAGGTGATTTATATTTCCTAAAGAGTAAACAGCGTGGAGTACAACAGTCACTCTGTTCAAATTACAAATTCAGTTCTTTTAATAATAAAGCAACTGTAGACAACAGTGACATTCTGGTTAATAATACAATTCTTAAGTAAGCAAACGTAAATAATACAATTTAATTGGCACAGGAGAATCACAGGAGAATAAGTGTTAACTCATAATAAATAATATTATATTATTATTATATAATAATAAATTTATTTATTTATTTTATTAATAAATATATTTATTTATTTATTTATTTTATTAATAAATATATTTGTTGTACTTGACTATAAAAATATTAGAAGGTAATCATAATGAAGTGTTTTTCTTTCTTTTGCAAATAAAAATAAATTATAATCTCTACAAAATACAGTTGCATGGACAACTGTCCATCTGCTTTCCTTTGTTTTATATAATTTTTTTTTAAATATTTCTATAAATATATATGTATTTTACATGGAAAATAAATCCTTAAGATATTTCATAAAATGTATTCCAATATAAAATCAATATTTTACTGTCTGGCATAAAATAAGAATTTTTTTTTACTTAAATGCCTGCAACATGTATTTCTAAAAACTCCAAACATGATATTCCACCAAAATAATACAATATCAGATATTGAACAAGTTGAAAGTGTACAAGTAACTGATGATTTGAATGATAACTTGGGAAGTATGACCATGAAACATTGAACCGAATTTTGGAATATAACTTTCCGAAAGTTTAAACAGTTTGAACACAGAAAACAATAAACATACAGTATCTCATATATTATTGTATGTACAGTTTTGAAAAAAAGGCTTAAAAAAATAAAATTTTAAGTGTCAAATGTTCAAGGTCCTTTGATGAATTTACAAGTTTTAAGTGTTAACAATTTTTTATCATATAACTACTTGCAATAAAACAACTCAAAAAATTATATTTGACTTAATTAACGTCATTTAAAATAATATGAGATACAAAATATATTAACCAATCATTAACTGATTTCTTAAATAATTCCTTTCATACAGGATGTCTTAACTTCCAACTACTCATACCCATTGTTCAGACAAGGTCATACCACTTTACAATACTTTTTTAAAAATTATCTTCAATTAAATTCCATAGGCTAGGGTGGGATTTGAACTGAGAACCGCTAGCATACAAAATACAGAAAATACGGGTCAGATGCATTAACAAATTTAAAGATGGGGGTTGTCTCATCATTGCCTATTTTTTTTCTTCTATAATAAACGAAAAATTGGCTCATTCCCTATTTCAAATAAAATACAAAAATCTAACTATAAATTTAAATAAAAGTTATAAAAAATTACAAGCCATCACTTTGTGCATAATTTGTTTTAAAAAGATACACTTAAGTTATTAATAGAAATAGATTTTTTTATTACAGTGGGTAATAACTACAAATATCAAAAAGAATACAAAATTTGATAACCAATGCATTATTTTATACATCATTATCAGTTATGGAAAATGTGGGATATTTAAGACTTTAAACTGTCATACTTCGACCAAACATTGATAGACTGTTTAAAAAAAATTACTTAGGGTTTATAAGGATTCTATGCTTTAAATGAATGCACAAAACTAGATATACATAAATAATATGTACATAAGTATAATATGTAAATAAGAATGTAATATTTCAAATATGTGTACAAAAACTTATATAGTCGGAATATCATGGTATGAAAATTTTAGAGATAACATGAACTTGGAAATGAGCATTAAGTATGAATTCATTTGCATAGAGTTATTAACAACCTTTGACATACTGAAAAAAATTAAGTTTTAACATTCTAAAAACCTTGCACAATAAAATTCTTGCACAATTTAAGAAAATGCAAGATAAGACATTTAGCTGACATACCTTGTACAGATTCTATGCTCTTAAATGAATGCAAGAAACTCGATATAATTATAATCAGTGTAATATTTAAATATAATATAATATCTCAATACACCCCAATTTAACGCACCACACATTTTATTTAGTATAAAATTAAATCCATTATCTAACTACATTAGTTACAGGTAATTAAGAGCTTTCATAGTCAAAATGCTTTGTAAATTTACTTTTGTACTGATTAATCCCATTTGCACATAAAGTAGCATTATTCCCTTCCATTCTGCTATGCCTAAAGATTGCTTCCAACTAGTATTTTTATTGTTTGATATTATTCTTACTATTAAACATTTTTCAATCACTCCAGTCAGTGTCAGGGTCACAACATTATTAGAGGGAGGATACAGCCAGAATTGCCAGGACACAGTGAAAATCACACTACAATAGGAAGGGTTCTTTGGCACTTCAGAGAAACAGGGCTTCTCACTAGAAAGCCAGGACAGGATTGACCTAGCCCTATAGATGAGAAAGGCAACAGATTCAGCCTTTAGCTCTATGAAACGGCAACATTACAGGGAATGGGATAAGAAATCTTATTAAACAAGCCTAATTTGTTTTGATTTCCTCCAGGACAGTAAGGAGAAGGCTTAATGAAAATAACCTCAGGGCCCGAAATTCGGCTCATGGATCTCTTTTTACCACACCTCAGAAAATGACCAGGCTTTAATTTGCACCAGACCATGTGAATTGGACATTGGAAGATTGGGAACATGTTCTTTTTACAGATGAGGTTAGAGTTGGCCTCAACTCTTCAAATGGGCATAATTTAATGTGGAGATGCTCAGTAGAAAACCCCATGCTGTATGGTTTCTCAAGTGGCATTCCACGGTGGGTCATTGATGTTCTGGGGTGGCATTTGCTTAGACGCCCACACCAAATCGGTTGTTGTGCGAGGAAGATCTCTAACTTCACGGCAAGACATAATCGATGAACATGTAGCCATTTGCCTCCGGTGACATTCTTACTAATGCAGGATAATGCCAGGCCCCATAGCACACATATTGCGGATGACTACCTGAATGAAGTTGGAATTGGTGTGCCAAGCTCGAAGTCCAGATCTGAACCAAATTGATCACATTTGGGACCAACTTAAGCGATGAGTACGATAAGACAACACCCTAGATAAGATGGATTGGCTGTTCTTGATGAATGGGAAAGAATTCTCATGGTTTTATCAGAAATCTTTTCCAAGGAATGCAAATGCGTCTAACAGATGTGGAAATACTACATACAGTCTAGAGGTGGAAATACTCTATATTAAAGGGGACAAAAAAGATTTTAAACTTTTTTTTTACTCAATAATTTTTTTGACAGTAATGTCTTTTTAAATATCTTATTTTTTTTACAACCAAACCTAATGTAAAATCCGAATAAACCTAAATAAATTAAAATTTAAGGGTGTTGCGTTAATTTTGTCCATCGGCGTTGATATAAATTAGTTTTGAAATAAGGCAACGATATGAAAATTTTAGTGATAACTTGGTAGTGAAAATAGTGAATTCATTCGCATATGACATACCTTGGTCATACTTTAAAAAAATTGAAAATTTCAGCAGTATTCAAATTATTTTTTTGACACGTATTTACTTTTTAAATACCTTATTTCTACAACCAAACCTATTTTTGGAATGTAAAATCCGAATAAACCTAAATAAATTAAAATCTAAGGGTGGTGCGTTAATTTTGTGTATTGGCGTAGATATAAATTAGTTTTGAAATAAGGCAACGATATGAAAATTTGAGTGAATGGTAGAGAAAATAGTGAATTCATTCGCATATGACATACCTTGGTCATACTTAAAAAAATTGAAAATTTCAGCAGTCTTCATATTATTTTTTAGACAGGTATTTACTTTTTAAATATCTTATTTTTACAACCAAACCTATTTTTGGAATGTAAAATCCGAATAAACCTAAATAAATTAAAATTTAAGGGTGGTGCGTTAATTTTGTGTATCGGCGTAGATATAAATTAGTTTTGAAATAAGGCAACGATATGAAAATTTGAGTGATAACTTGGTAGTGAAAATAGTGAATTCATTCGCATATGACATACTCGGTCATACTTCAAAAAAATTGAAAATTTCAGCAGTATTCAAATTATTTTTTTTAGAGGTAAAAATATTTTCTTTTTAAATATCTTATTTTTACAACCAAACCTATTTTTGGAATGCAAAATCCATATAAAACTAAATAAATTAAAATATAAGGATGATGCATTAATTTTGTCCATCCGTGTAGATATAAATTAGTTTTAAAATGTACAACGATATGAAAATTTGAGTGTTAACTTGGTAGTGAAAATAGTGAATTCATTCGTATATGACATACCTTGGACATACTTAAAAAAAATTGAAAATTTCAGCAGTCTTAGAAAATATATATTCTTGTCAAGAGCTTGTTAGAGCTAAAAATAAAACATGAGATGTCAGATATCACAAAACATTGGTGTTACAAAATTGAAATAATTCGACACTCGAATTTTTCGTTCGAGTTGTTTTTACTTTTAATTAACTTGGAATAGTTTCTATATAAAAATTAACAAAAGATGAATAACTACATACGCTTTACTTGGCTTATATACGTCACAGTTGAAAAAAAGAAACTCACAGAACACTCACTCGATTCAACCCAAATTCAGCCTTGCCGTTGAATACTCGAAACTCTCCCCAGATAACAACTAACGTCGGTGTAAAACTTCAAATTAATCGAACCGGAGGGAGAAGTTTCGGCCCCTCCAAACTGGCTAAACAAAAAGAAGCCAATTGGGATAGGAGGATGGAAAAAGAGCCGAACAGGAGAAAGCATATGACCTCACTGTCATATTCAGAAACGTCAAAGTGATCTCGGGTTCGGCTGGATTATAGGCTACAAGTTTGACGATAGCATATCAACAAGTTGGTCACCAATTGGAATTGTTCTCCTCACCCTGGTGGTAGAAAGGTTTATAAACGTAAAGGTGCTTAAAATAACAGGTGAGAAACTTTTTACTTGCCCTTTACAAACTTAAAACTTTATACACTGAGAGGCAAAAAAAGTGCCCTCCCTTAATATTTTTCATTATCTCTTAGACAAACCTCCATTGAATATTTGTTATTTTTAAAGGATTGTAGGTAAATAAAGCATATAAAATCTCCCACTTTGGTTTACGATTGAATTTTATGAATAAATCTTTGAATAGTCAATCTCTTCTTTGTTGGTTTTTCTGTAAAGCTTCTTTCTAACATTACGGTGATTAGATTTTTTTTTTTTTTTGAGGCTGTACCATTTTTAAGTTTCAAATTGTTTGAGTGATGGTTTTAAGTGATACAGATTCGGCTAGAATCGAAGTATTATCGTTAGATGGAAGAAGCCAAGTATATGTGGCCAGGGTGCTTAACATCCCCCATCATCTCCTATCTCAGAGCGAAGATGGTTTTAGTGTGTCTAATGTGACGGTAATGGCAATGGGGATGATCCCTAACACTAGGAATTGGGGTTTGTGCTCCCCAGGTACTGCAATCTTCTGGCTTATTGTACCTTCCTATTTCCCTAGTTCTTATGGATGTTATTTATTTTAAAGGCACAAATAAGGTTTTAACCCCCCTTACATATGCATATTTTAGAAACAAATTTAGTTTTATGAACATAGTAAAATAATAATAGTAGCAATAATATTTTTTTTTATTACATTTATTTGGTATTTACAACTACAAGTGATGTATTAAGTAAATATGTTCGTATATGTTGAATTATCATTTGAGGCTCTTGTAGGAGAAGTTGCCCAGTGGTAACACTCCTTCACACTGATATCTTGTTCAGTCTTCACACAATGAGAAGGTCTCGGGGCCACTTTCGCTTCAATCGTCTTGGAGGATTTTCAGGTAGGGTTGGAAGTGATAAATTTCGTACGAATAGATTACTGTGTGTGTTCAGTGATTGATGAAATTTTTTATATCGGGTTTTGATGAGTTCATGTACAAACGGGATGTGTAGGTCTTTATGGATAGTGTAATTTGAAACGTAAAAAGGAGCATTTATAATTTGACGGAGAATTTTAGATTGGATTGATTGGAGACGCTGGGAATTGGAATCCTTGGTTGAGCCCCACACTTCACAACCGTACGCCCAGAGAGGTCTAATCATTGTCTTGTAAATTAAAAGTTTATTTTCAAGGTCTAATTTTGATCGTGAGTCGAGTAGTCTTTTTAACAATTTATAACGTCGGTTCGTTTGCTGTCTTTTCAGTCTTGTATGGGGATTCCAAGTCAGTCGTTTATCCATGAAAAGTCCAAGATAACGCACAAGGTCAGTGGTAGGCAGTGGAATTCCATTTATATTCACTGCAGGACAGACATTGTTACGTAAGGTAAAATTGATCTGTATGCTTTTTGTTAGGTTTACCTTTATTCTCCACTTTGTGAACCATAGTGTTAATTCATTCAGTAATCAAGTACAGTTGTAAGTGTTGAGTGTTAATTGAGGGGTCCGAATTGCGTGTAAGAATCGCTGTATCATCAGCGAATGTGTGTGTCGAAATGTTAACATGTGTAGGAATATCTGCAGTGTATACGGAAAATAGAAAAGGGCCAAGTATGCTTCCCTGAGGAACACCCGCCCTTATGCGTATATAAGGTGATAATTCAGTTCCCTGACGGACTCGACAAAATCTATCCGTCAGATATGCAATAATATATTTTTTAAAATCTTAATTATTTACAATCAAATGATAAAACCACATTACAAAAGAAAATCAGAAAGAGTAGTAAAAGAAAACGGGAAAAAGAAAAGGAAATGAATTATATCATTGTTAAAAACATAGACACCTTGGTCAGAAAACAAACCAGTGAGGATGGGTGTTAAATTAGAAAATTTAATTTCACTGGTAGCTTCAAATTGTTTACAGTATGAATGGTTTATGGAGGTGGATAAGTATCTATCCGTTAAATAGCTTTGTATCCGTGACAAGTGAGGTTGCCCTATTCCATAAAACATGAGTTTAGAGACAAAACGCATTACATTAACTAGACCAAATGTTTTGGCAATCTGTGTATACTGTATGCTAGGAAGCAAGGTTTGTGCTCCCCAGGTACTACAGCTTTCTGGCTTCCTAGTTCCCAGTTCAGCGCAATAGGACTCAATGCTCCTTCTCAGATGTATTAGATCATTGTCTGATGCTGCTACAATTTCATTCCCTACGTTTGTTCTATATGTTAGGTTAAATCTTCATTAAGCTGTTGTTTCGCATTCGAAGATGATACGGGTGGCTGTTTCCTCCTCCTCATTGGACAATCTGCAGATGGGATTTTCATTGTTTATGCCCATCTGTTCTCAAATCTCATTTCTCCCAGACTCAGATCCCAGTGTCTTTCAAATGTACTCTGTAATTAACATTTTACTACTGTTGAGATCACGGAACAACTTCAACAAATTAGAAATGTAAATGCCAGTTTTCACACTATAAGGCAAAAACTTTCAGAAGATGGATTGCGTGCAAGAAGGCCTGACAATGGTCCAGATCTTGTGACAAGGCACATAACAGGACGGATAAATTTTGCAAGATCATGCAGCAATTGGTCTGAGTCAAGGTTTTAGTTTGAGGTCTTCTAACAGCCGAGAAAGGGTATGGAGAAGAACAGGAGAGGATATATCCCTGCAACATTTTCACTAGAGAGCACACGGAGAAGCTATGGAAGTGGTGGTGAATGGTTTGAACAGGCATTTCTACGCAGGGTCCAAAAACTTGATCTTCATCGAGGGATTCCTAACAGCTGGGTGATACATTGAGGGATGGTTAGGAAAGAACCATAATTTGAAGAAATGTGTGGTGATTAGTGACCGTTAATCGATATTTATTTAGAAATCGTGAGATGCGGTCGGTGTGATGTAGGTTTCAGAAAAACATTTTCTTTATCGTGCCAACATTTCAATCTTTATTGAGATCATCTTCAGGGCTCAATAAAGATCGAAACGTTGGCACGATAAAGAAAATGTTTTTCTGAAACCTACATAATTTAAAGATGTGTTATCAGATGAATTTTTCCTTATTTACCACTAATTGGCAATTTTATTTGTATATATGACAATGCAAGGCCCCACATAGTTGATGACTACTTTGAACAGCTTCAAGTTAATCCTTGCAGTGGCCAGCATGTATTTCTGACTTAAACCATGTTGAAAACTTTCGGTCGAGTTGTCAAAGATGGTAAAAAGTCGCTCAAGGAGGCGTCGGTGGCCACAATGGTTTAGCCGTTGACACGGCGCTCATCACTGTAAGGTGAAGGTCCCGGGTTCGAATCCAGCAGCCCTGCATTGCCCTGGGCTGTTTTTCAAAAACACCGGCACCCTGAGGGTTTAAAAAAAAAAAAAAAAAAAAAAAAAAGTCGCTCAGTGATGCAGGAATTAAGAATGGCCCTGCGAACAGTATGAAGGAATATGAAAATAGTAGTTATTATTACTATAGAAATAGAGTAGGAATAATGTGAGAATTTCGTGACACCCAATGGGTTGTTAAACCCTCCTGTATGACAGGAATTACATTTTACTTTATTTTATTTTCTGTTTTTTATTGATTTTTTTTTATATTATCTTTTTATATTCTTGGGTTGAATTGTCATCAATGAGTATTTAAGGAAAAAAGTAGAAAGATAATTTTCTGGGGAAAAAGTAAAAAAGAAAAGAACAAACGAAAACAATTTTTATTTTCAAATAATTATATAATAGTAATAAATTTATAAATATGATATTTATAAATATATTTGTAAGATTGTTAAAAAATGGCTTTATGCTTTTCCATATTAGCTGAAGTATGATAAAATAATTATTACAATATATTTTTGGGCGAGGGGAAAAAGATTCCTGGGCTCCTCAGCCATGTCATTGGGATCGGTGACGAGGGCTTACGGGCTACAATTGGCCACCGTGGTCCCTGAAGTAATTATTTGAAACCAACCTCTTTTTTCTTCTCTGCTTAATTAAATGTAGTTAAAAACAAAGAAAATAACATAATGGTGCAGAAGTATCATGGACAATGATAATAAGGATTATATTTAATAAAATATTATGAAAATATTTTTGTAAACATAGTTGTTTTAATCAGTCATGCAGAAATAATTAAATAAGACCTTTTTGATTTATGTTGTATTACAACATTTCTTCTTTCTTTTAGGGGTGACAAAAACCTGATCTCAAGGAGGAATATTAGTTGTTTTTCATTGTAGCAATAGTTAATTTGTTCCGGAAAGCTCAATTACGTACTTTATCTTCAGGCCAATCGTACGATTTTGGAAGTGAGCTACAATAACCAGTATCATACTGTAAACTTTGTATGTAACTTTTTACATTCTTGGGCCTAGGATAAACACTTGCAAAACCTGCAAAAACAAAAATAACTTATACATTCATTGTAATATGGATGGAATTGTTTATAAAGATGTTTATCAAAGATTTTAAAGCATATCTAATTCTAGTTTAAGCATTATAAGAAAAATTTGACTATGCATTAAAAAAAGAAAAGTATTTACTGTACAAAAGGTAGGCAAGGTACAAAGTTTAGGACCTAAGAATAAAGAAAAAGAAATTTCAAATAAAATCAAAGCATACCTTTCAATCTTTCCTTACACGTACAAATTGTAAAAACAGAAAAAAATGCTGCTGATAAGCTTGAGCTTGTTTGTCAGAATAAGCAGCCCTGATGCAAATATTTGTACTTTTATGTATTATAGTAACTATACTAGTCATAAGTAGATGAAAGAGACCAATGGTTTCTTTGGAAATATAGATAACAATTGAGAAAATAATAAAAGAGAATTGTTTTTCCCATTTGAAAAAAAACTTACCTTAGAACAAAACAGTAAAAATGTTGAGTAATAATATAATACTTACAAAAATAACCTTTATCTATGTATAAAACTGAAATACAATTTGTTCCAATATAAATGCTATACTAATCATGCTAAATTAAAAACTAGAAGTGATGGGTTAAAGTTTTAAAAAATAATAACATTTAAAATTAAATTTGTGTATTTAATAATTTAAAAAATGAACATGTACAAAATTATTAAAGTTCGTATGATAAAAATTAAAAAACATTGTAAAATTAATTTTGAATTATTAAAATAAATCTATACATTGAACATTAACAATATAAATCAATAAATATAATACATAATATTTGTCAGTACACATTTCACATAAAATAATACTTATATAATTTATCCAACCCAGTTTATATTTTAAACTTACAATTAATTACTAATTATAATTATTGTGAATGATTTGCAGGAATGCAATATTTAAAATTTTTCAGTGTGAAAAACTGTAACTATAATCCCTCCACTTTGTTAAGTTATGTGTAAATAGTTGATTTTCTAAAAAAAATATTAATTGCCTTGTTTTAACTATTCGTTGATAAGGTTTATAATATTTTCTGTGATAAAAAAACAAAATCAATCAGAGTGAATTGCTTTTGATGCGGGAACATTCAGCCATTTTATCTAATAATTTATAACTTCTGGTCGGGCCATGAATATTCGTGGGGGGTCGATGGTGAGTAAAGAACATCGTACAACTGTTCTTTGACAAACTGTTCTTTGTTATCTGGTTCAGGGTAATAGCTTGCTAGACCTAAAACAAAAACTTCAGTCTTAGTTCAATAAGTCACAAATTTTTTTGCCTCCTTTTATTAATTTTCTCACATGTCTTGCAGATTGTTTTGAAAATAAAAACTGGATTTTTCTTGGCTTCTTTATAATTTATTCATTTTTTAAATTATTTTGTATGTCATGAGTAGTGGAAAAAAGAAAAGAAAAAAGCTAACATGCATATTACTTATTTTATAATTAGTAACTACTTTTACTTGTCAATAACAGTCAGTTTAATAACTATGCTCTGCATTAACTAAAATATCTTAATAAACAGTAATATTAAAAAAAAAACAAAAAAAAACAGTATTTAGTAATAAGTGAACAATTATACTAACCATTTTCATAAGCATATTCTGCAATTTTAGTGGCAATAATCAATGAACAGTGCTGGATTGTTCGAAGGGGTGGGTATAAACTGCCTTTTGCCAGATCTTGATCAGTCACCATTTCAGCCAATATCTGAAAAATTCATCGTTCATAACAACAATCGTTATTTTACAAACTGTACAAAATTACCTTGGCCGACAGTAAGAAAATGTCCTCGTTTATTGTCTTTACTCCAGCACAAATCACACCAAGGGATATTCCAGGGAAAATGTAAGAATTGTTTCCTTGACCTGGATAATGTGTCTTTCCTTCATATGTGAATGGTGGGAATGGTGATCCAGATGCAAAGTAACAACGACCCTAAAATTAAATCATTTCTATATTTAAACCTTTCCCTCTTATAAATTAAAAAAATAAAATAAAATAAAATAAAAAACTAGCCTGGGTGTATGTATAGGCATTTTCTGCTGTACATTCTGCTTTGCTTGTTGGATTGCTTAGAGCAAATATTATTGGGGTTTTGTTAAATTCTCCCATTAATGTGAGGATTTCATTTGTAAAAGCTCCCCCAACAGCCGCAGCACCTGTAAGAATACATTTTGATAAATTTCAACATATAAACTCATTGTAGTTATATATGATCAGCTTATCCTAGCTGGGTTTTTCTGTCAAACGTATCATTATCTTTAGATCCACCACTGAAGATGGAAAACAAAAACAACCAGAATAAGCCTGGATCATCCAGTATGTACAAGCTGAACAATTTTAAGTTATAAATTACCAATCAGTATTGAGGGTTTTATTGTTTGAACGACCTCTTTCAAGCTGTTAATTGGTGGATGACTATGGGCAAATTTCATTTTATGCTCAGACAAACCACCTGCTGGTCTGTTTTGGACAATAAGACCTTTTGAGTCAACAAGCCAGATTTTTAATCTAGCTTCTTCTTCCGGAACTCCTTCACCCACCATTGCTTTCACACATAACTCTGCAATCCCTAAAGCTGCCTAAAATATTTCTTGGCTAATATAAGAAAAAATCGACTATAATTTGTATCTATTACTTCTCCAGCGCCTTGAAACACAATCTTGTTATCAGAAAGCTTGGTGTCTGTAGCTCTAAGAGATGCAAAAACACCGGCGACAGCAACTGCTGCTGTCCCTTGGATATCATCATTGAAGGTGCAATAATGATCCCTGTATTTACTCAGCAAACGGAATGCATTGCTGTTTCCAAAATCCTCAAACTGAAATTGAAAAGCAGCATTTAAATTTATAAGAAATTGGGACATTTTAACAATTTAATAAATGTTTCTGAAAGTACCTGAATCAAAACGTTTTGCCCAAAACGCTTTACTGCTGCTTTCATGAACTCCTCAATGAAATCATCATATTCAGGGCCAGTAATTCGTTTTTGCCTCAAACCTATATAAAATTTGTCATCCAAAAGTTGCTGCAAAAATGAGATTGTATTATTAATTATGTATATATATGTACATTGAAAAACAAACCTGGTTATTTGTTCCAACATCTAAAGTGATTGGCAGACAATATTTAGGGTCAATAAAAGCCAGGGCAGTGTACAAAGCCAATTTTCCAACTGGAATGCCCATACCGTAGGCTCCCAAATCTCCTAATCCCAATATCCTTTCTCCATCGGTAACGACAATGGCTCTCACATCTCGTTCAGGCCTAAATAAATTAAATAATATATGAGCTGAGTTTTGTATTTGCGGGATTTGATTTAATTACCAGTTTTTGAGAACTTCGTATACATTTCCTTTGTCATGGATCGAAATGAAAAGCCCTTTGGGTTTCCTTAAGACCAACCCATAAGTCTGGCAGGCCAGACCAACTGTGGGTGTGTATACATATGGCATTATATCCTCGACATTTTCGCTTAAAAATCTGTAAAACAGCTTTTCATTTCGTTCCTGAAAACCAAATTTAATAGTTAAGTATACTGAAGAAAATATTTCATCAAATTATTTATGATAATAAAATTTAAAACTTGAATTTGATCATTGAATACAATGACAAAAAATTAAGGGGGTCAATGAATCAATATTTTGTTCACATTATTAATTAATTCTTGATGATTTTAAATGGCTTGAAACTAATAGTAATGCTCCTCTGCATGAAATAATTTTTATGCCTGAAATGTTTGCTCACTTTTTTTGAAACTTGTTAAATGAGGCAAAGACCAACTTAATATTAGGCAACACATACTTTCCACACATTAAAATAAGTCTTCACAAACTTAATTAAACAGGAATTCTAGATGAGACCAGGTTTTATATACAACAATCAGGCCAAAAATATTGTTTTTTAAATTATTTACATACATACAATATGCCTGAATTTCATTTTTCGCAAATTTCTCAAAATAAAATTAATTTTTTAAGTCAAATTATAAAACAAATATATTGGTAAAGAACTGTTCATTGGCAATAGTTTGTATAGTTGAAATTTATATTGAAATGTCACAGGGATATGATTAAAACAGAAATATAATCAAATCCTCAAAATAATTGATCAATTCTTAATAACTTTTGTGCATTGATCAATTTTGTTGATTGGTAGATTCTTAAAAAATTTAGTTAACCGTGCGACATGTACAATATGATAAAGTTTTTTAAAAGAGATGCATACAAGCAAACCCATCAGGTATGTATATTTGTTGATCGGCTCGGTGTAGCGATCAACACTGATCCTTACAAGCTCTAGTTGGGTCTCTTGTGATCTGACACATGGTGGCAAAAGCCCATGGATTCCTAGGCTCTGCCTCTCTTTCAGACTGAATGCCATCCCCTGAAACAAAATATTTTATTTTTATTTTCTGAGTTTATCTGGTCAGTATTGGGTAATAAGCTACGTATATTTAATAATTCTACTTATTTTGGGTATGGAGGGTAACGAAAAGGTGAACAAGGTCCGTGGGCATTAAAAATTGCAATAAACAACATAATTAAAAAGAAATGGGACTATTGGTGGGTTGGATCAGCAGAGAAGCTATCAAGAGCTTGGTCAATAGGTGGCCCTCCATGAATCTAAGTTGAACTCAACATACTCGTTAGACTAATAACAGGCCACTTACTTTTGGGCCAAATATTGCATGTGTGGTCAGCATGTGGAGCATGTTGCTCAACTGCCCCACATAAATTAAGGAACTCCTTGGCTCCATATATAGAGCAAATAGAAATGTCACCCGATAAGATAATTGTGCTTATGCACAGCAACAAGATTTGGGCCCTTTAGAAAAAGCAATAATTTTACTTTTAGAAGGAACAGGGCTGTTTTATTGTATATAGGTCTTTATAGATACCTTGTTGTGATACCTTTTATGTAAATTTGTGAATAAATTTTTTAATAAATAGTGTTATGTAAACTGGAAAGAATATATTTAATAGTGTATAAGTGTTTATATTTACGAACTGTATGCATTGTAGGGTGAAAAGACCTAGCTGATGAAAGCCCTTAGTGCTTAACCTCAACAGCAGGATGGATAAGAATGAGTCTGATCCCAAGCCAGATCAAAATCCAAAGCGGGGGATTATGTACGTATTACTTTTGTTTTTATTTATTTTATATGTTTAGATTGAATGGATTTAGGAGCCTGAATGTGTAGTGTGAGCAAGCAGATGATCCCATAGACTCAATCATCATTCCCATAGATTCATCACTCATCAAAGTTCGTTGCAATTAACACAATACTGTTGTCATGCCAACATAAATTCCTGTAAAAAAACATAACAAAAGGGGTTTGTGGACAGGCCGTTGAAACGGCACGGTTTCCCAATTTATTTCGCTTGGCATCATATGGATTCGTGTACTTGACCAATACGCGACTGCTTCTTCATCCACAAAATCCCAGTCTGTGGGCGTATTTTTCTGGTGATGGATTGCACGATGCCATTTAACCCTATTGTCAGATCTGTTGAGTTCTTCCTGTACCTTCTTCCAGTCACAAATTCTCTTTTCCTTCTTAAATGATTTATTGATTTTTAGCAGGTGGTAAGGATGTTTGTTTCTTAGCAGGAGGAGGAAACGGGGTTCGTATTCTGAGATTTCTCTTTCTGTTAGGAGGAGATTAACTTCAAATTGGCTGAGGCTCTATTTGGCGAGAGTTTTCTGTAGGCTGGAACTGGATGAAACTTGTAGATGGGAGAGGATTTGGTTGGTCAGTGACAGCCAAAGTATTTGAACGAGCATGTAAACATTCGACGTGCTGATTTCTAATGAGAATCTCAGCTTTAAACTGGCTGCCCGGAAGATTTTTTTGTTAGATTGTCATCAGCTCCAGAATCTTCCGTCATTGCAATTACATCCTCGTTATAATTCATAGGGGGCAAAATGCCACCGCTTAAACCCTCTGGAATTTCATAATCCTCATTGTTTATAAAATATCAATACATTAAGAGTCAATTTTTTCCGAGGTAAAAAGCAAATAAAAATAAGGAAAAAAGAAAGACTCCCGAAAATGAGGAACATAACTTAGATACCATTTAGATACCATATCACCTTGACGCACTCGTGCAAGGACCTCGGCCATTTTGGAATTAGGTCAATTCAGATAACAAAATAATTGCTAAAAATTTTTAGCTAAATTATTCAAAAAGGTGTTTCAATGATAAAATGACGAATAGTCGTAGGTATAAATTGATTACACAAGGTCGGGTAGTTCATCCATCGGTGACGAAAAGTATTTCTTCTTATTATTTGGCTCGAGAAAGTAAACAATAAATACAGGCACGGTGACTATCAACTATAAATTCAAGGTCCCAAAGAAGGATTATAAAACGTTGTTTCCTGGGTAACCCTGAAAGTTCTACATACATCTTTAAAGTAAGTACGTTCACTAACCCATTAGATACACTGGCAAAAAAATTCACCCAATTGATTTTTTTAATCATTTTTTAGATAAAAGAGAATTATGCCCTTAATTTGTCTCATGTTTTTACCAATAAATATTTGTTTATGCAATGTTTTAAATTGGGAATATCAATTAGAGGTAAACATACTTAATCCTTTATCCAAAACAAAGATAAAGGATTTTTCAATGTTTACTTTTTAAGGAATTTGAAATGTTTATTCAGTCTCATTTGAATTCTGAAGAAATAAACTGTTTAGTTTCATCTTTGTTTTCTTAATTTCAGTTTTTAAACTTAAAAATACCACTTAGTGCTGAGGATGTAGCGCGTCGTGTGGCAATTATTGATGATGGGCGTTTCATCAAGAATGCGGCTATTGCCATCGGAGTTCCGTATGAAACTCTGGGAGACGTTAGACGTTTTTGAGAAACTGGGTCCTACCATAGAAGGCCCGGTTCTGTACGCCTAGTATTAACTTAACTGAACCACAAGATGACATTTTTTTGACTTTGAAAATTTTGCGAAACCGGCACCTTACTGTTGTTCAAGCGATTCATCAGCACCAGGAAATATGAGGTGTCCAAATTTCACACTGCTCGAAGAAGATCAAATCAGTATAGACTGATGACTTTTCGCCACGTGAGGACCAGGCTTGACCAGAACATACGGAGTTGCACTGCTCGCATTTGCTCGAGAACACAGCCATTGGTTTTAGGACGATCGGTCTACTGTACATTTTACAGATGAGTGTAGATTTGCTCTACGATCTCCAGATGGGCGTGAGAGAGTGTGGAGAAGGCGAAATCAAAGGTACGAAGCCTGTAATTTTTCCCAGAGCCAACCTTTTCAACGTAGCTCAGTGATGGGGTGGGCGGGAATTTCAATGGAGAGTCGCACAGAATTGGTTGTTGTTCGTCGAGGGTCTTTGACGGCCACTCACTATGTGGATGAAATTTTGGAACATCATTCGTTGCCCAACCTCGATGAAATCAGCGACAATCCTATTCTAATGCACGTTAATGCCCGTACACTCGATAATGTCACTCGCATAGTAGAAACATACCTTTTACAGCATAGCATCAGGGTCTTAGCCTGGCCAGCCCGTTCTCCAGACTTGAACCCCATCGAACATTTACGGGATAACCTCAAAAGCAGAGAGACAACCCCAAGAGTACGTCCATCACTGCTTGATACACTCCACGATTTTGAAAGGACTCTTCGTGAAGAGATTTCCAGACTGGTAGAAATTATGCCGAGGATTCTTTGAAATTCCATCCATAAGGGGTTCATATGGGCAATTTTTTTACCTTGTGTAGACCGAAGTGAACTGAAGAAATGAAGAATTTGAGAAACGAGACGAAGTAATAGAATGCCATACTAGCATTCTGCATCCTATTAGAAAGGTACATTAAAAAAGTGAACGATGTCGCGGGTAAAAGATAGTTATTTATATAAAACTAGCTTTACAACCCGGCTTTACAACAAAGGCAGATAGTAAAAAGTGTTATTTCTCTTTTTTGTAAATCCTGACGCCCATTATTTGTTATATGCTCATTTTATAGTCTCTAAACCTCCCAGCACTAATAAAAACAAAGAGTGAAAATCTAATCGAAATCGGTTCAGTATTTTTAACGTTTATGGTTAACAACATACGAACACTCAATTTTAAACAGGTAAATATTATTGTTATTTATCAAGAAAAGAATAATGATTTATAAAGAAAACCGTTTTTCATAGTTTAATAAAAATTAAAAATTATATGCCTTTAAATATTATTGTTATTTATCAAGAAAAGAATAATAATTTATAAACAAAACCGTTTTTCATAGTTTAATAAAAATTAAAAATGATATGCCTTTAAAAATACTAATAATGGAATTTTCTTTGTAAAATGTAAATTATGTTTTACCTTAAACATTTTGCTGGAAGTTCTAATGTGGTATTAACTCTACGAAGAAAAATTCCTGAGTAAAGAAACTTATAAAAGTTCTTTTATAAACTTAAAAACTCAAATTTTCAATTCGTATTTGGTAAGATTTTGAAGGACCTTGTTCACTCTTCAGGGTCGTGATTTTTTAGATTTATCCGTACCGATTGCCTGTTTTTCGAGAACTGATTGCCGGTCAGGCGATCAGGAGACTTGTATATAGATAAAGTAAAAAAAAAGGTTGAATTAGGGGTTGACTTTTGTTAATTTCACGAGCTACTGATAACTGTACTGTGTGCAAAATTATATCATTACGTGATCGAGATTGTAACTGAGTTCAACTCTCTCTTTTTCGAAGGGTAATGAATAAACGGCATGAGTCTTGATTCGACATCGAATCCGGATCTAGATAAGGCCTGCAATTTCAATTTAAGCAAACTTTATAATCTAAAAGGACTTTTTTAAATCAGGAATAGGAATTGTGATGATAAACTGATCTAGGAATGCATTTCACGTGTCAGACCTAAATGTCTTTATCAATAGTAAAAAAGAGGAAAATGCTGTTTTTTTTTGTTTTAAATTTCGTAACAATAATTATTCTTATCATAAAAATGGTCTGACAATCTCCTTTTTATGAACTGAAGAAATTATCTAGGTTGAAACTCCAACCATAATAAAATGCAGTTTATAAGGAAAGTCGGTTTAATTTTAAGAGCAATGACCTTGATTGGTGATGAGTTAAAATTTGTCAAATAATTGTAAGCGTGATAATTGTCTAATTTGGTATTAGTTATTTTCGATTTAATTCTCTATATTCATAAAAATCCTTTTTTATTATCCATTTTCATTCGACACTAACAACAGTTCCCGAAATACACTGACAGGCAAAAAATACCACCCATTTGTAATATAACTTGATTTGTACATATTTTTATATATTAATCAAAGTTTCTCATTTATTAAGGTTTAATAATTGAGTATTTGTATAAAAAGTAAAAAAACACAAAAAAAAAGAAAGTAAATTGCTAAGAAAATTAAAAAAAGAAGGACAGATAAAATTGTTTTAATTAGCATTTCAATATCACGTATTTCCTCCTCTTGCCTTAATAACATCTCGAAGACGCATCGGCCTACTTTTTACCAGCTTGGAAATGTTTTCACGAATAGTCTTTTCAAGAACGTGGAGTGTATGGGGAAATGATGGACGTACTCTTGAGGTTGTCTCTCTGCTTTTGAGGTTATCTCGTAAATGTTCGATGGGGTTCAAGTCTGGAGAACGGGCTGGCCAGGCTAAGACCCTGATGCTATTCTGTTAAAGGTACGTTTCTACTATGCGAGTGACATGTGTACGGGCATTATCGTGCATTAGAATAGGATTGTCGCTGATTTCATCGAGGTTGGGCAACGAATGATGTTCCAAAATTTCATCCACATAGTGAGTGGCCGTCAAAGACCCTCGACGAACAACCAACTCTGTGCGACTCTCCATCGAAATTCCCGCCCACACCATCACTGAGCTACGTTGAAAAGGTTGGCTCTGGGAAAAATTACAGGCTTTGTACCTATCATTTCGACTTCTCCTCACTCTTTCCCATTCATCTGGAGATAGTAGAGCAAATCTACACTCATCTATAAAAATTACAGCAGACCGATCGTCCAAAGACCAATGGCTATGCTCTCGAGCAAATGCGAGCAGTGCAACTCCTTGTGTTCTGGTCAATACTGGTTTGATCATCTTCGAGCAGTGTTCAGAAATTTG